CCCCCAATTCATGGATGTGCTTGAATGTGAGGAAAGGAATTGTATCAGCTCACCAACTGTACAGGTGCTCATTAACATGCCAGATGTTCTTAAGCCAAACTGTGTGGAATATCATTTAAGTCTCACAACTTTATGAGAAGATACTTTTTTTTGAGAAGGTAATATTTTTAAAAATATATTTTTATTGATTACAGAGAGAGGAAGGGAGAGGGAGAGATAGAAACATCAGTGATGAGAGAGTCATTGGTCAGCTGCCCCCTGCGCGCTTCCCACCTGGGATCGAGCCTGAAACCTGGGCACATGCGCTGATCAGGAATCGAACCACGATCTCCTGGATCGTATAGGTCGATACGCGACCGGTGAGCCATGCTGGTCTGGCAAAGGTACTGTTTTTTTAATCACCATTTTATAGATGTTGAAGTTGAGACCCAGAGAGCTGAAATCATGAGGTTAATGTCCCAGAGCTGGGAAGTGATAGGGTCAGAATTTGAACCCAGGCAGTTTGCAGACAACTGAAATTATTTCTTGTGCAGATGGTAGTTTTTCTGTAACACTGATTCTAGATATTTGTGACGGGATTAATCTAGTAGTTCTGTGTAAATTTAGAGATGCTAACCCTCTTCAGTTTGCTAAAAACACCCACAACTAGCTAACCCTAGAGTTCTGCTTAAAAAACACCTCTGTGTTTGGGTTGTCATGACCTGCTTCCTACTGCCACCTTATTTGATTCATCTTTGCAATGAGGAAATCGTTATTCAGTAAGTATTAGTTATAAAGTTTCCCTTTTTATTAAGAAAACGGAACTGGGAAGAACAAAATGACTCACCTGAGTTAACCAGAAGAGCTGGAATTAGATTTCTAGTGTTTAATTGTCCTTGACAGCTGTGGTTTTTCTGTACTGTAAAGAGAAATTGAATTAGCACTTGTCATAATTCACATAAACTGTGTTCTGTACCTATTTACCCTACAGTTTAAGAGTATTTACTATGTGCCAGGCTGTCTTCTTAAGCCCTGGGCACACAGTGGTGAGAGAGAGAAGTGTTTGCCCTCATGGAGTTTTTATTCTGGGGTTGGAAAGTGAACACATAATAAACAATTTCAGATAATAAGTACTATAATATACTAATACTAGTCAACTAGGCACTAAAATGGTGATTTAATGGTTAGGGAGCTACTTTTGATGGGGTGGCCGGGGAAGGCCTCTCTGAGGAGGTGACGTTTAAGCTGAGATCTAAGTAACAAGAAGCAGTCTGCCATGTGACTACCTGGGGGAAGAGCATTACTACAGCTTTATGGGAGGGAGTTGGAGGTACGTAGTGTTCTTGCTATGCCAAAAAGTATTAGGTACATCTGTACAACTAGTCTGGTCCTAGAAATCTGGATCAATGAAATACTTGGGTTGTATAAATTTGTTACCCAGGCCTGTTGAAGTAGCTGTAGAAACTAGTGTCTGACAGGACGGGTAGAGTGTTGAAAAATAGGTGATGAATGAGCAAGCAGGATGGTGAAAAACAAGATGTTCTCTCATCATATTGCATGGTGACAGTACCAGTAGGAATCCCGTGGTTCCCCCAGCAGCCCCAGAATTTGGAGCCTGCTGATACAGAGTTCATTACCACAGGTGGTTCACTTATTCACCAATGCTGGACATTCGGGCTGCTTTCGGTGTTTGGCTGTTATGAATAAACCAGCTTTGATTTGAATAATTATCTAGGAGTGGGATTGCTAGGCTGGCCTGCGGGTTGAACTTTGTGAGAACCCCTGCCAAATTTCCCCCCAAATGGCTGTCATTTCCCTTCCCACCAGCAGTTCGTGAGAGTTCTAGTTGCTCAGCATCCTCACTAGTAGTTGGTATTGTCAGTCTTTAATTTTAGCCAATCTTGCTTGGTTAATGAGTGTGTGTTTTGCACAATTGTTGGGTTTTTAATTGTTTTTATTAAGTTACATGAGTTCTTCAGTATATTCTGGGTATAAGTCTATTATACATTTTGTAAGTATTTTCTCATCTGTGGATTGACTTTTCATTTTAACAGCATCTTTCAAAGAATAGACTATTTACAAATTTGATAAAGTCTAATTTATCAATTTTTTGTTTTTATGGTCTGTATTTTTTCTGTCCTATCTGAAGTCTTTGTCTAACCCAAGGTCATAAAGATTTTCTCCCATAGTTTCTTTTAAAAGTTTTATTTAAACCTTTTATGATGATGTCATTGATCCATTTTGAGTAGGCCTTGCTAAGCTCTTTTATTTGTAGTAGCTTTTTTGTAGATTCTCTTGGGGTTTTCTGCATAATGATCATGTGGCCTTTTTTAAAGACAGTTTCCCTTCTCCCTGACTAGTCATTGTGCCTTTTCTTTTTCTTACCTTTATCACACAATCTAGAAGCACCATTTTGATCGTCTCATCTATTTGTATCTGAATCTAAAGTATCTTTTTTTAAAAATATGTTTTTATTGACTTGAGAGAGAGAGAGAGAAACATGGCCCTTAGAGAGAAACATCGATTGGCTGCTGGAGCCCGCAATCCGGGCATGTGCCCTGACTGGGAATCGAACCCCGATCTCCTGGATCCCGGGTCGACGCTCAACCTCTGAGCCACGCCGGCCAGGCCACCTCCACTGTTTTGAGAGCACTTGTGTGCATGAACTTCTCTACACACAGTTGCAAATGAAGTTCCTTTGGGAAGAGAATCCAGTCTTATGTTTTATTTTGTTCTTAATTGTGGTCATATATACATAACATGAAAGTTACCATTTTAACCATTTTAAAAATCTATTTTTATTTATTGGAGGAATAACTGGCTAATAATGTATACATTTCAGGTGTACGACTCTGTAACAGCATCTGTGTGCTCATCGCCCAAGNTTGTACGATCCTACTTATGTGAGATATGTAAAGTAGTCAAATTCATAGACAGAAGCAGCCTGGCAAATGGCAGGGGCTGAGGGATGGTCAGAATAAGAAGCACTGCTTAAAGGGTACAGGGCTTCCTTTTGGGGTGAAAATGTTTTGAAATTTAAAAGAGATGGTGGTAGCACAACAATGTGAATGTACTTAATGCCACTAAACTACATAAAAATAATTATACTACACTGCCTTCCCCTCTGGTAACCACCGTTCTCATCTGACTTATTTCACTTAGCGTAACACTGTCAAGATACATCCATGTTGTTGCAAGTCGCAGTATTTCATCTGTTTTTATGGCTGTGTAGTATAATTATTTTTATGTAGTTTAGTGGCATTAAGTACATTCACATTGTTGTGCTACCACCATCTCTTTTAAATTTCAAAACATTTTCACCCCAAAAGGAAGCCCTGTACCCTTTAAGCAGTGCTTCTTATTCTGACCATCCCTCAGCCCCTGCCATTTGCCAGGCTGCTTCTGTCTATGAATTTGACTACTTTACATATCTCACATAAGTAGGATCGTACAACAGCTGTCCTTATGTGTGTAGCTTGTTTCACTTAGCATGTCTTCAACGTTCATCCATGCTTAGCATGTACCAGAACTTGTTACCTGTCAGCCAGCTGTAACAGTTACCAACTTATGCCATCTTATTTTGTTTTTAACCCCACCTATTTCCTTCCTCCTGTATTATTTTGAAGCAATTTAAACTATTATTTCTGTAATTTTTTTTGTGTGAATTTGAATCGCATTTTAACCACATTTAATAACTGTTGGAAGCTTAGAATCCTGGATATAGTTTTGTTAAATCTGATCAATCTAATCATAAGTATATTTAAAACTAGAATGTGGTCTTGGCTTTTCTTTGAGATTTGTTTTGTAACTAAATGAAATATTAGGATACTTTGTTTCAAAATACTAAGAGAGAGAGAGAGAAAAAGTAAAGCATAATCTGAGTAGATTCAAAAAGAGAAAAACAATGCGTTTGGGGTTTTATCAGTTTCAGAGAATGCTGCTGTGATTTGCTGCATTCCGCCTTGGGTGTCCAGCCACCTGGTGTGTCGGGGAAGCCAGTGGTTTCCAGGCTCTGTACACTATATACCACTGGGAGTCCTTTATTATTTCCCCTGTTGAACTATTTGTTCTAAATAAATTGGATTGTCAAAACAATTGCTCTTTATTAGTCAAAGATATAAATGTATAATCAATAAAAAATAGTGTGACTAGTATAAAAGAGTTTTATGTAAATAGCTTTGTGGGGATGCCACAGGAATTTAAAGGCATTTGCTTAAGTCTTTTAACTGCTGCACCTCAGCAGCCACTAAGATGAGATAATCCTTCTAAACAAGATTTAGCCATTTTTTTAGCCATTGGCTACAGACTACAAGTAAATAGAAAAACCTAAGAAGCTCAAATAATGTTTGAAAAAGATGTACAAACTTGGTTAGGCTTAATTGTGAGGCTAGTTTATCCCCTGTGATTCAATTTCAGAGAGGCAGCATAACCTAGAAATGAAAAGCTGGACTTTGGATCACCTGGTTCAGGTACCACCTGCTGCTCATGAGCTGGATGATTTTGGTCAAGATGTTTAAGGTTTGGTTTCATCACCTGTAACGTAGGGGTGAGAGATTTGACATTGTGCTTACTATAGTGTCTGGTTTTTAGTCAGTTCTATAAATGGTAAATTATTGGTGGTATTCCTTAGACTTTAGGAAGTTCTCTGTGCTATGTGTGAGGCACAGAATCACAGAATCAAAACGTTAGAAATGGAAGGAACCTCAGGTGATTTGGATCAAGACATCATTTTCTAGATGAGAGAAGGTAACAGAGCTGGAGACCAAATTAACCCTGGCCTCAGAGTGCCAAGGTCAGTGCTACGTTGCTGGGAATTGGCACCATTCAAACTGCTAGACTTTTTGGACCTGAATTGTGCTTCTCATTGAGTGTTTTAAGTTTGTAGCTCAATTTGAGACTTGTGATTTTATTAAAATGAGATTCCAGTTCTGTTATTTCAGAGTAACGTTTATGAGGAATATAACATTTCACTAATGGAACAAGCCTGAGGGTGTATTATGTTCTGTAATTAAATTAACTTGAAAATAGAGTCCACATTACTGGAAATTACTTGACAGGAGCTTCATTGGTGTACCGCCTTGTTTCAGGAGAAGAGGGTGCCAGGGAAAGGCCCTTGTTACATAGGTTCTGACAGCCACTTACTATTTAGAAGTGAAAGCACTTTGAATGGTTTGACTTATTTTCAGATGTTTTTCTGCAGTTGTTAACACAGTACCTATTCTTAGAGGTGAAGGAAAAATATGGGAGGTGACTTGATGTCGGTCACATCAGGAATAGAATCTCTGTTTTGCTCCCGGGTAGCTTTTTATATCAGAGTGGTTGGTTACTTTGGAGTAAAGATTATTATATTTAGTATTGCTTATTTCTTCTAGTAGGCTATTTTTATTTTTTACTTCATTTGTTTGAGTTTGATAAAGTTCAGTTTCTTTCCTGTTCCCTCCCTTCTATGACCCATACCTGTTCTGGGCCTCTGAGCCAGCAAAGCACAGAGAGAGCCGTACTGTTCTTAGATAGCTTATAATATTAGATGACCCCACACCACAGATCCATCACTTGTGCTTTATTTGAATGGAATTATAAGATATTTTAAATTTGAAAATATGTTTAGCCTGTTGAATTTAATAAACATAATATTTAATCTTTTCAGAGGTCGCAACAATAACAAGGGACTGCCTCAGTCTACGGTGAGTAATTTGAATGTTATTTGTTTGGAAAAACTGGCAACTAAAATGTGATTTCAAAACCGTAGAACCAAAAACCAAGGCCAAAAAAACTCCCCCCTCTTCAATTTTTCTCTCTCTCCTCTTCTTTAAAAATATGTTTTTATTGATTTTAGAGAGAGGAAGGGAGAGGGCAAGGGGGAGAGAGATAGAAACATCAATGATGTGAGAGAGTCATTGATCGGCTGCCTCCTGCAAGCCCACTACTGGGAATCGAGCCTGAAACCCAGGCATGTGCCTTCACGGGGAATCTAACCAAGATCTCCTGGTTCATGGGTCAACACTCAACCACTGATCCACACTGGCTGGGCCCCCCTCTTCAGTTTTATATCTATATCTTTTATAGGTCAGTACTGATGGGTATAAAATTACTCACTCTGTGGTTTTTGATGATGACTGTATAAAATGTAAACTTATCTATAAATAAATTTTCCATGCATAGCAATGTCATTTGTTCTTTTATAAATGACTAGAGGGAAACCTAACTCCTATAAGATAAATGGAGCACCAGAACTGGAGTTTGCAGAGCTCTTGGAGTTATTGATTTTGAATTAATGTGCTATCTTTTATTTTCATTTTTCTCCCTTTGAAAAGGACCTTTTGGTTTTAAATTTCAGAACTTTATCAGTGAAGTTAAATTGGGCATGAACAGGAGAAGGTGTAAGTTCCACATCATGGGAGAAATAAATGAGACGCTCACTGATTTTTGAGACTTTGTCTTTATTGGGCAAATTTTTGTCTTTAGAATCAGGAGGACACATGCTTACCTAGTGTGTAATAAGGAGTGCTTGGCTGGTAATCCTTAGAGTGCTCTCATTGATGCATATGTGTTGGGAGCAGATAGTCAAGGATCTTCTACAAAGACTCCCCCAATCTACCCCATTTATTTATCACAGTTTTCTTAATAACCCTGTTCATTGTACAGGCCTGTGAGTTTTGGTGCGTACAGTTGTGTAACCACCACCATAATCTAGATAGTAGAACAATTCCATCACCTCCAAAAATCCCTCTTGCCCCTGTGTAGTGAAACCTACTCCCCAACCATTGATCTCCCTTCTGCTCTTATGGTTTTGTCTTTCCTCATCTGTGTAAGTTCACTTTTGCTTTTTATATCATGTGCAGTCAAAACATTGTTAGTTGATAGGACTGGTTTCACTTTTGAAAACCTAAGCTTCTATTCTCTAAGGAAGCAAAAGACTGTAGTAAACCAAATCTTTAATGCATGTACGGTATTACAAACCCAATTAAACATTTCATAACAGAGTAAGTGTTAACTTCAATATATACACAAGGATAAAGACTGATTGCTAATAGTGTTTTTCTTAATATTCCAGATTTCTTTTGATGGAATCTATGCAAATATGAGGATGGTTCATATACTTACATCAGTTGTTGTAAGTTATCAGATTATTGGGGAGAAACTGCCTTGGGAGTGGAATAAAGTAATTTCATGAAGTTCAGATGTGGGTGAATGATTCTCTGTGTAACATTTCTTAGATCACGTTTAATCAGGGTAATTTAGAAAAAGATTAGAATTCTACCCGTTATTGTAACTCACTATAAAAAGCATTCTTGTTAACCCTGCTGTGTACATAATAATATTAGTAGCTGTTTACAGCACACTATTTTGTCACCTAATAAAGCTGGAATCAGAATACTTAGCTTCAGTATTTAAGTTCTTGCTGTAAATTCTGAGCAGGATCCTGTGAAGAGTCTTGAGAATTGTGCGTTGTTGATGTTTTAAAATTTTTTTATTCTGTTGAACACCTGACACGTGGAATGAAGCTATAAAAAGTAAATTGAAAACAATTACCACCGTGACTGTGTGGCATGCTGTTTCTTTGATAAATTAATTGTGTGTTTTTAGGGATCCAAATGTGAAGTACAAGTGAAAAACGGAGGTATATATGAAGGAGTTTTTAAAACATACAGTCCTAAGGTAATTTTCACTCTTTTTGTAAGTGTGAAAGCCCGTGAATCGTTAACTTCTGTATGTCAGTTTATAGTCAGGAGGTGGGTGTGTTTGTCATATTTTCATGCTCGGTGCTTTACCTTAAAAGCACTTTTTAAAACCACTTTGAATGATTTTGCTCTTCAGTTTCAAATACTGATTATTTTATAGATGGTATGTATAATCAACAAGACTTCTTGCTCTGTGTGCTTATTTAAGTATTTTGGCCTTGTCAAACGTTGTGGACCAGAAGAGGGAGAGGTGGGTGGTTCATTTGTTTTCCTTTTTATTACTGTTAGTGTGCTTGAGGCACACCATGGTCGCAAGGACCAACTCTTAGGTGAGAAGATATTTGAATGATGGAATGGGAAACAGGCTGTATTTCTGAGAAAAAGATATAAGTTCTCTTGGGATAGATTATTTTTGCTGAAGGCATGTAAGAATAGTGCCTTGATGTGCTAAAGAAGTCCTGTCAAGTTTTATTTTATAAAACTTGAATAGTTACTTGTGTTTTTCATTTCAGTGTGATTTGGTACTTGATGCTGCACATGAGAAAAGTACAGAATCCAGTTCAGGACCAAAACGTGAAGAAATAATGGAGAGTATTTTGTTTAAGTGTTCAGACTTTGTTGTGGTACAGTTTAAAGACATGGACTCCAGTTATGCAAGAAGAGGTGAGTTTTGATTTCCTAAGTTTGCTTCATGGTTTATGAGCTTTGTTAAGCAACCTCTACAGACTTTTTAAAGAAATACAGGCTTTTTAAAATAACCTAATTAAGACAAATGGGAATTTCAATGCATTTTTGTTGGAAAATATTGAAAACTTTAGTGGAAGATTCCTTGGTACTTTTACTAAGATAAATAATGAGAGTTTGTGTTCTACTAAAAAATAGTTTGTACAGGATTTTCTACAGTTTCTTGGTTCAGCATGCTGCTGATTTACTCGGCTGAAAATTTCTTGTCCCATTTGTTCTGCAGTGCTTTAGTTTTTAAATTTTTGTTTTATAATGCTTATAAATAATGCTTATCATTCCATTATACTTATAGTTCTATAAATGCTTTAGTTTCAGTTCTATAAATGCTCTGGAAAGAAATCAAAAGCACAAGGCTAAGGGAGAAAGGCAGAGAGCTGTGAGTAGAAAACAGTTATCTAATGACGATAAGTGGTAACATAGAACCCATGTATTTGAGCATTTATTATTAATATGTGATAAAGATAATACTTAAATATAGAGTAAAGGTGGGCTATTCAGTAAGTGGTGGTGGGGCATTTAGGAGGAATTAGATTCCTACTTCATACCTATCACCAAAATAAAACCTGAATGGTTAAAGAAAAAAAAAATTTTTTTTAAACCCTATAGGAATTCTAGAACAAATCTATGAATTTATATTATTTTGAGGTAGGGAAGGACTAACCATCAAAGCAAAAATTTATAAAGGAAAAGATTGAAATATTTGATTATAAAAAAATTAAAAACGTTATGCAGAAGTACCGTAACATTTAGAAAACATGGTCCAAACTGGGGAAGGAGAATTAGGGAAGTTTTACAAATGGCTGGTGGACATGGGAAGATAGTTCACTTCACTAGTAATCAAAGAAATATAGTCTCAAAGCAGTGGGATGTGACCGTTCACTTCTGAGCTTGCTGAACAGTAAAGTGAGAAAGATTAATACTACCTTATAAGTTGTTTCCTGAGTAGTGAGGGGCTCGAGAAACGACTCATACTCTGCTAGTGGGGCAGTTTAAGTAAAACAAGGAACGTTCCTGAACTCTCTGGTGGGTAATTGAAGATGAGTCCTGGACACTTTCAGGAAGACAATTTACTTGGTAGTGTTGTGTGATGCTAATATACCCAGTACTGTCTGGTTTTAGTTTTATTTTCTCTTGCTCTGTGGAGTCTCACTGCTGTCTTAGGAACTGCAGATATATTAAAACTAGTCATGAAGCAGGGCAGTGAAAAATGTGGGTAAATTGTCTCCATTTTAATTTCAATTCCATCTGACTAAATAGGGAAATTATCACATCCTTACCCAGATCAGCCCTGGCAGTTTTAAGTGAGCATTGTGCATTTGAACAGTTCTTCTAATTTATATTAGAAAGGAACAGTCTGAATCTTTAAACTGTTCTATATGTTTGCCAAGGAAACAGAAAGATGTGCATATAGCTGTAAGGATGGGAATTCTTTGCATTTATTTTCTCTGTATTTTTGAACAGGTTTGAGAGTGAGTTTTTGTAAGAAGACTACTGTGGCTAATAGTACTGGCGGTTCAGTTCCTAAATTCTGTTTTTTGATTCCTGAATATTTCTGAATTTACTTTTTCCCCCTAAATTTTCTACAAATTACTTCATTTCCTTTTTCTCTCATTCTTTAACTTTGAGGTGAAAGCAGTAGCTTTTATAAAAAACTGCTCGAACAGTGATTAGAGCCATTTTGCCCTTTGCAATGGCACAGACTAAAAGCTTCTCCTTCCCCTCAAAACGGGGCTCTGAACCCGGAGCCAGAGGAGAAGCTGAGAGCAGAATGCCCACTCCCAGTGCCTCACCACAAAGTATATCTTTCTCTCGCCTTCGTCGTTGTTAGAATTTCTTCTGATGTCTTTTGGAGATAAGGCAGGAATGAGAAATCTAACATTGTGTGGAATCTGTCAGCTGCTGGGATGAGATGATAAACAGGCAAGGCTCTTTTGTTTGTTCTGGGAGTACGTGTGCTGCAGGGACAGGTCCCGGCTTCCTGTCCCGCCCGACCCTACTGTGTGCGAATTTAGGGTGACCTATGCTGTGCTTTTATTACTTTATACTAGTTCTTCCTGATTCATTCTCCCCTAAAAAAATTCCATTTGAAGGAAGAACTTTGGGACTGACCTTTATGAATCTAACCTCAAAGTCTTGAATTTTATTGTTATATAACTGTCATCTCCATGGTATATCAAATGAACCACTTCTAATATAAAATAGTTCTGCTTGATAGGCCCAGAATTACAATTAGAAAATAGTTGTGGTCATTTAAAATAAACAGTATCCACTCCTGCATTTTTTAATAGGCAAGTGCTTGTCTGGTATATTTTGTAATGTAACTATGATTTCTTGGTATTTACAACAGAGGCTTTCAAGTTTCCCATAATTTTGTGGCTAAGACCTGATACTTTGAAATGCTACTGGGCAAATGATATATTTTACAAAAATTTGTTTTCAAGTTGGTTATTTGGAGCAGAGCACTATTCCTGTAGAAACTTAGCCTTCGGAGCTGCTACATCGCCATCCCATTTTAGCAGCCTGCTTTCCTGACTTTTGTCATCACTCGTAACTGTTTCTATTCCAGAATGCCTTCCAAGATCTACTCTGACCACAGCCAACGTAACCCCTACTCTCCTACTCCCTTTCTTCTGTGCCCCTCCCAGGGCTCTCTGACCCTTCCATCTGTTTAAATGAAGAGATGAGGTCATGTGTCTGATCCTCTGGCCTTCCATTTTTAAACTCCCCATCTACTCCTGTGGCCAGCCTGCTGGGCGTGGCTGGGGAATCCCATTGTGGTGCAGCTCAGTTAGGAATGGAGGGTTTCTAGCTCTTACTGGAACTTCAGGAGGGCTCAGTAGACCTTTTTTAACCTGTCTCTGCAGCCTTAATAACCACTTCTTTCAGTCTCTTACTCCAGCTACCTCATTTTTATCCACAGCAGGAAACTTTCTTCCTGCTTTTTAGAACATACAGACACAGTTCTTAACCTGGATCCATAGATTCCCAAACGGTTTGTGGAGCAATTCAGGGTATCGCTGAACTTGGATGGGGAAAATGTTATCTCAGAAAATTACTTACATTTGTTGTCTCTTTGAAATTGCCGTGGTTATTTACTGTTAGATCTTATTGTTTACTGAATTAATAAAGAAGCACATATTACTATGGCACAGATTTGATTTTTTAGATTTTGATAACTGCACTTCATTGTAATTGATTTCCTATGCATTTTATGCAGTTAAATCCGTCAGCTCCCCTAAAATGCCAAAGGAGTACACGGATAAAAGAAAAAAGGTTAAGCCAGAGGCCCCACCTCCCTGCAGTCCTCTCCTGTTCTTCCAGTCCTGCCTGAGGACATTGCCTCCGCTCCTGTACCTGGTTCTGTCCTTCCTGCCCCCCCCACCCGCCGCCCCACACACCCTGTGTTCATTATCACCACCTTGTTTTTTCATGCTGTTCTTTAATGTTTTCTATATAATAAAATACATGGTTCAGTATATACTTACAATGTTAAAATTCATAAAATAGATGAGTAGAAAATACAGAGGTAATCTCACCTATGGACCTGTGTACAGTTCAGAGAAATTTTATTTTTAATGCTACTCTAGTCTATGTTACAGCCCCTTTACTTCCCCTACTTAATCTTTGCTTGTGTTTTTGAAGTTGCTTTTAAAGCCACAGCCTCTTGTTCTCAGAACTATGTTCTTAAACTTTAGCACTTTTCACATGTGATTCTAGAAGATTTGCTTCATGTATATAACCACTCTTCTGTACCTAGGAGCTCCTGCAGAAAAGGCAGGGGTTGTATCTTAGTCAGATATAAATTCCCAGCTCATCTAAACTCAGTGATACTCAATAAATGCTGAAAATGGCCTCTAATTTGTGAGGTTGGCGCACACTGAGACTGTTGTGTATAGATTGGTTCATGTATAACTGATGGTACATGATGAGAAAATATGTTTTTAAAGTCATTGAAAAAAGTCACATTATCAATAATTGTCAAAACGGAGCAATATTATTGAAACGAGATTTTTTATTTACCTAGAATTTCAGTGTTTAACAAAAAGCAGATTTAATTGAAAGATGAAATGGATAGTTGAGGATTTTGGTGAAGACTTTTTGGGAAGCCTATTTGAGGGTTTCTGATGTTAAGTCTGATAATGATTTTTAAACTTCTGGTTGTATGGCATTTTGTCGTTTTAATACATTTAATTTATATTTATTTTATAGTATGTTACTAGCATTTAACTTATCTCACCGCTATTCTAGCTTTTTAAAATATTCTCAGACAACTCTGCTTTTTCAGAGTCCTAATTGACGTAGAGGAGGAAAACTTAAGGAGATCCTATTTCCCTGGTGTGGGGCTGAGGGGTACCTATAAGGGGGTTGGGGGACAGACTGGTTGATGCCTTTCTTTCCAGTCACCACCAGGTGGCACCACTGGCTCAAAAGGAAGGGAAGGCTTTGAGAGCCCACCTGCTATAGGGGTAGAATAGGGGACTTAGAGGGGGGTCGGGGATAGTCTTGTACTCCTTTTTCCTTATAGTCCAGAGATTTTTGTAAGTTGGGTGTTTATAAAGCAGGGAATTACGCACATGATGAATTTCTATCCATTATTTCATCTGATAATTTTTATTGTGTTTTTTTTTTTTTTTTTTTCTTTCTGTACCTGTAGTTGCTTCAGAAACAGGTAATATTTTTCTAACAGTCACTTTGTATTCTTGCATCTTGCCTTTGTAATGCTTTTGTTTCTTACCATAGAGGATAATGGAAAATTAATATACTCTGACTTATGGCACTGGAAAAATACATGCAAATTCCCACCATTGCAATTAGATTATAGTCAGTTGATTTTTTGAACTTTGCAGACATTCTTGATACAACATTGTACTGTGTAATACCAACAATGTGTTTTTTTTTTAGATCCAAACATGGCTTTTGATAAAAGCATTTTTAGAATTTACAGTAGTGGGTATTGGTAACAGTGTGGAATGAACTATCCAGGTCTTGCTTCCTTCTAGCTAATGATACAGTGTTGATCCAAAATAAAGTATTTATGACCAGGGTGTTCCCAGCATCCAGACACGATAGCCTCATTTTGTGCTGACTCCCTACTTCTGCACATCTTTCCCTAAATTCTTCACTCATGTTCATAAAGGGACTTTCTTTGGGGGAAATTTTAAAAGGAGTATCATTCCTTATTAAGAGAAACACTTTTGCTTTCTCCCTTCCCCCATTTCTGCCTTGAAAGAAAACTGTAATGCTAAGTAAAAACTTGAATAGTTAATTCCTCTTATAAGGTTGGTGTTGTAATCAGAAGATCTAAGATAAAAATGTAGCATTGGAAAGAAATAGGGTATTTAATAAATGGCCTCCTTATTCTTCTTGTATATCCCAGTTTTTCAGTTTCAGGACAGCTTGGCTCAGTCTCTAGTCTTTCCAAATACTTCGCCCTCCCCTCCCCCCCTACACCTCTGCAGTGAGAAAAAGTCCATTTATGTGGTTTTGTTAAAAAAAAAAAAAAAAAAAAAACTTGCTGCTTTGAGCTTTAATTTTGTGAATAAAAATAATGCTACTTTTAATACCGGGTTTCCATCTAAGTATGTGCTTTATTCACTTAAATATATGCTTTTCTAAAATTAGTGTGATTAAAACATTAACAGGACCTAAACTATGAATTAATAATCCTGTTGCTTCTTGCAGAAGATAACTGGTTTGGAATTTTCCTGTAGTCTAATTTTCTGTTCTAGTTTTTTGGAAATTGAACTAGTGAATTTCAGCCTCCTAATGTGAGTTATTATGTGATGTTTTTTAGAGCATTTCACAATCTTGAAAATACACATGGCAAAAGTAATTTCTACCAAGAACTTGTGTAACTTTAAGGTGCTGTAGAGTAGGGCTTGACTCAGTAACTGAGTGTCCTGTAAAACCAGGTTTTAGGACCACCAGTGGCTTCCAGCTGAAGATGGCATTATGAAGATAGCATCAGTCTGTTAGGATCTGTTAGAAAGCTTTTTCAAAGTGCAGCCCTCTTCTATTGAATAGTGTGTGGCTCTGGGGATTCCCTGTGTATGCTCTTGGCTCTTAACAGCAGGAGTTGTGCTGTGGGTAGAGCTAGCAGCTAAGCCCACTGGTGCAGTTACGCTTTTGTTTCCTAGTGGTGTGCACACCCCTATCCACCTGCACACACACCATCCACCCCTGGTTTGGGATGAGAGGAGGTAGGAGCTAGTTAGGTTTGTAGTGCCATCTCTAAATTTGCTGGCAGGAATTTCTCATTTTGTCATCACCTTGCCCACTAGGGAGGTGATATAGTTATAGAAGCAGAACCAAATCAGAAATCCCTCTGGAATTGGGAGGAGACTAGCTGTTGATTCCTCCCTTCCTCCTCTTCCTTGGTGGCAGCTTGCCTAGGGGTGAGGGCACGTGACTCGGAGCCAGCGTGCTCTAGCAGAGCCAGAGCAGCAGAAGTACCCCGGCCTAGCCTTGCAGTAGGTGATACCCTATGGGTCCAGCCATTAAATGAAAGCTTTTATCTCCAAAGCATGTCCTAACACTAGCATTGCCCAAGTGGACCTTTATTTATCTGAGTCCTAACTCCCAACTAGAGAAAAATTTCCTTTGCCGGATAGCTGCTGTCGATCCATAGATCATTCCTGTCAGCTGAACGTACTGATGCCATGTTGCTTTCACAAGCTGGTGCTTCTCAGCAACATTAGCACAGGAGAAGGGCACAAGTGAGAAAGAATTGATGGGAAGTTCAGGTAGGCCCACCTCCTGAACCCTCTGGGGACAAGTAACACTGCAGGGCCTGAGCTTTGTAAGGGTGGCTGCAGGGAAAAACGGGTTCTATGAAGGGGTAGCTCGCTTAGAATAGCTCCAATTACCAATGGCAAGAGGATGTTAGGACACTGATGCTTGCATGCAGACTTGGGATCAGAAAGTTAAAAAAACCTTCCTATATTTGGCTGCAGGAGCTCTGAGTATATATCCCTACTGGGTTCATTAAACAAAAAAGGTTTTGTTTCAGGTGGATGGACAGAAATTTTCTGGATTACTTCTAAAACACAAAGTAATTATTTTTCTTGTAATTTAATGACTTGTGAATACATGAAAACGTATTTCATGTGACTTAAAATTATATGAAAAACATCTTCGTTAGTTATCTATGGTGTCAATTAAGTTTTTGGAAGGTTATAGCACTAGAAGCATCAGACATCTGAAAGCATGTTGTTAGTGAATGTTATTCTTTCTGCATTAGAAGTTCCTTTTTCATAATTATTTCTTAACAAGCATCTTTGTTGATCATTTGTGTGTGTACAGTGTAGTCTGGTTGGTTGTGTGAACTTTCAACCAAAAACACCCTTTTCCAGATGCTTTTACGGACTCTGCCATCAGCGCTAAGGTGAATGGTGAGCACAGAGAGAAGGACCTGGAGCCCTGGGACGCGGGGGAGCTTGCGGCCAGTGCAGAGCTAGAAGCTCTGGAAAACGATGTGGTGAGTCAGGCCTTGGGTTAGCCTCGGGCTGAGGCCCTGCGATGGAGACAGCCTGCCGCTTGGGTTTAACTTAAGTATGTGGTGGTTGTGAGTATGTTTAAAGCAGCAGTTTTATTGTGTAAACATAGATTGTTGACTGTATCCCCCCCCCCCACGGGGCAGTAAATACAGAAACATGGTTTTTTGGGATGCTTATGAATTATTTCTGTGTTTTTCAGGTAAGTCATAATAAGCCCCTTACACACCTAAACCACGGGAAACTGGAAGTGCCGGCATATTTTGCTTTGCATGCTCGTCCTAGTAAGGCAGCCCAAGGCACGGGGTATGGTGTCTTAATTGTCTTTGTCAAAGTTGTACTTTGACCTGTCCGGAGAAGTACTACTAAGTATTAAGGTACATAGTTAGGTAACATTAGAATTAAAGCAACAAATAAATTTCTTGTGGAGAATGATCCTAATTTAGACCAATAATCTACTTATAAAAGCCTCTTGGCAAATATTTTTACTTTTCCTATAACACATCATCTATAAATCAAATGCTTAATAAAGATTCTGTCTTTAGGACTCTGTAAATAAATTTTCTACACTGTAGAGATAGAAAACAAAGTCTCTTGCCAAAAATGAGTGTTTAGGTAATTTGAATTGAATGAAGAATCCTCCATTGAATACTACAGAGAAGTCTTTATAATAAGCCTGTGATTTACCTTTTAAGTCATTGTTCAGTTGTAAATACATAGGCAACACTCACTATTAATTTTCAAACTTTAAAGAATCATATATAACCTATGGAGGTTCTCAGGTCTGTGTGGCACATCACTTGTGTAGTTTCGTCCTGACCAGGTAGCTCGGTTGGTTAGAGCATTGTCCCGATATATCAGGTTCAGTCCCCGGTCAGGGCACATACAAGAATCAGCCAATAAATGCATAAATAAGTGGAACAACAAATCTATACTTCTCTCTTTCTCCCTCTTCCTCTCTCTAAAATCAATAAATAGAAAACTAAAAAACAAAAACTAAACTGCTTTTGAGAATGGTAGTTTTCTCATAGAATTGTAGAGTTATCTACACTGAGGTTACAGGTTAGGGCACCAAGGCCTAGAATTTCCTTGCTGAGGACCTGTAGCTTTCAATGGCAAAGCTGGTTCTGAAACCTAGCTCTTGTGACTCTGTCCAGTGACTGCCTGTTCACTCGGTCACACTGCCTTCCCTGTGAGCGTGTCCAGGAGGAGGGGGCAGGGGGCAGGGATCTAGCACCAGGCTCCACCTTGAAGTAGCGATGCAGAGGGAAAAGCTTTGGCTTCTCTCTTCCTTCCCCAGAAACACTGAGAATATTTTTGGCTGTCAGAAAACACCCCTTGTCCTGCACAGACCTGATAATCAGTCAACTCAGGAAAATTTCCAGTAAATACCCTATAGAAAGATGGCTGTTAGGGAGTAGGGAAAGGAGAGAATCCTCACCTGAGGGCTCATATTTTATGAAATAACTGAAGTGTTCTAAACTTTTACTAATAACCTCTCAAATAATTATTTTGTATAGTTAATTACCAGCTTGTAGGGCTGATGTAGAAAAGTTTTCCCTTAACACATTGTTTGCGGGTAGTTTTCATCACGCGTTCTACTACCAGTCAACGTAAAACGTATAAATACGTTTCCCGCATACAATGTGTTAAGACATTTCTGAAGGAAAATTTAGCCTATTTTAGTTTGCTAGATTGTGCTAGTGTAGTAGGAGAGAGATTGTTACTGCAGAGACTGACTACACTGAATTGAAGACAAATACTTGGTCATTTTGAAAAATGAGCTTCATTTTCTTCTAGTCTAATGGATGGGATCCCAATGATATGTTTCGATATAATGAAGAAAATTATGGTGTAGTGTCTACATATGATAGCAGTTTATCTTCATATACGTAAGTTTAAAAAGTTTGCTTTTATTGCATTTGCTTTGATTATAAACTTAAATGATGATGTTGAATAAATTTTGTTGGATTTTAAATTAAACAATTCTGTGAAAGCATTACCTGTTATTGCATGAGCTGATAAATTCCCACTAAAACGGAATGCATGTGGCTGACCTATACTCTAAATTTATGCTCTAAACAAGCTTTATTTTTGTTCTGTTTTTACATTGTAAGAACTAAATTTGCAAGCGTAGAAGTTATGGGGGAATAGTCCATTTAACCATTTTGGGAATGCTATGTTCCTCTAGGGAAAAGGTAACAACATAATTCAAATTTTGATTTACAAATAAACAGATCACTGTGACTCTCTTACAGTTTTACCAATATTTCAAACTCTAAACCCCCTTAATAGTTGATTGTGACAGGTACATAAACTATGACTTTGAAATGCTCACCTGGTCTTTCCTTTTCCTCGTGTTTCAGGGTGCCCTTAGAAAGGGATAACTCGGAAGAATTTTTAAAACGAGAAGCAAGAGCAAACCAATTAGCAGAAGAAATTGAATCAAGTGCCCAGTACAAAGCCCGGGCAGCCCTGGAAAACGATGAGAGGAGCGAAGAAGAAAAGTACACGGCGGTCCAGAGACACCCCAGTGAGCGCGAGGGCCACGGCGTCAGCACCAGGTACTCAAGGGTCGTGGTGCGGTGCTTCAGGTGCACAGTTCCAGGGCTGTGTGAGAGCGTGCGTCATTGGTGTTCATCATCTTTAGTGTAGAGTAGGGAGAAAATGCAAACGGAATTGCTTTAAGGTTCTCTTAGAAGATTACAGGAATCTTGGAGAGCACCTTCGGGCATCAGCCCTGTGTTGTCCAGCGTTGGATATACAGCGACGGCGAGGCCGAGGTGTGGAAGAGCTCATTTAGGTTCTAGGTGTGTTCAGGTAACCGGGAGCGTCCAGAGTGAGCAGGAACTAGCAATAACCTGCAGGGTCAGAGGCGGCAACGTCTTGTGATAGCCTCGACCTGTCACCACTCAGAGAAATAAGAGGGAACTCCTCACGTGGCAAAAAGCTGTGTGGAAGAGCCCAGCCAGCTGAGGAGAAGGCTAGTGGTTTCGTGTGTCTGGGATATAGGGGGAGTGTTGAGGGGATGGTGTGAAAGGAGCTCCTCGGGGACGTTGAGCACTGGCTGAAACATGGGACCAGTTAGTGAGTGTTTTAAAATAGTTCAAGTGTGAGAACTTGGTAACCAACTAGACCAGGGCTCGCGATAGAAAGGCTAGAAACGCCAGGGTGACCCTGAGGTTTACTTGATAACTAAATGGACTGGTGGTTGTACTGGTAATGGAGATTGAAGACATCTCTCTCCATTATTTGGTTTAGTGTTTAACCTTTTTATAAAGAATTCATTTCCTTCTGCCTAAATTACTTTTAGGTTTGTTTCATTGGCCTGGTGCCTATTAAGATAAAATAATTTAGAGGATCTCTCATTTTCAGGGAAAATAAATATATTCCTCCTGGACAAAGAAATAGAGAAGTCATATCCTGGGGAAGTGGGAGACAGAATTCACCACGTATGGGCCAGCCTGGATCGGGCTCCATGCCGGCAAGATCCACCTCTCACACTTCAGATTTCAATCCGAATTCTGGTTCAGACCAAAGAGTAGTTAATGGAGGCAAGTATTTTGACCAAATTTGTCAATGTTATTGATTAAATGTATAGCTTTCTAAGTTATTACAAATTTGCATAATGATAAGAATTTGATTTGCATACCTTAATCTCTGTGGAGTAGTTTTCACTTCAAAAAAATATTTAAATTTACCTTTGTGGGTATCAAATTAGTAAAAATTAGTATAAGCCGTTGGAATACATTTAGCATAATGAGAAATACTCATGTAAGATAAAGTGCTAAATTTAACCAAAGACATTCACTTGGCTAAAAAAAAAATTCGCAAAACACTCCACATATAAAGAAATTGGAAACTTTGGATAGGTTCTCAATTTTAAAAACACTGGATAAAATTATTTACACAAAATTTAAATGGAAAACCCTATAGATTCACTTTCATTTACTGTTTGTGTATATATTTATATCTGCACACTTCAAGGAAGGGTTTGAGGTGACTTGTGACACAAGACATGACCAAGAGTCGTGAAGAGCAAAATGTTTTCATTGTTTCTGAGCACACCTCTGAGTGTAAAAGTGGTGGTTGTAAGTAAAGTAAAAGAAACTTGCATCTTTAGTAGGAAGATACTTTTCTGCTCTGCCTCTAAGTCTAGATTGAATAGAGCTCATAGGTCATGGATCTTTCATATAAGGCTGATATCCTGCTCAGCAGCACCGGAGACATTATGGAAATGCAGTAATTAATAATAGCAATAGTATGTTACTAAGTTAGGGGGAAAGTGGGTGGCCAAGTTTAGCTGTTTAAGTTTGGAAGGTTAGGAGAAAAAACAGAGAACACTAAGTTTCCAATTTCATTTGTTTTCATTGAGTCTTTCTCCAGGATTCCTCTCCAACTGAACACTCCTGAGTATTCTGTGTACTTAGTATTGGGGGTGAAATTTCTTTGCTCAATGAGTAAAGAATTTCAGGGTTCTTGAAGAGAATTTTTAAAGTAAAAAACCTGAAGGGGGCTGGGAAATGTACGATACTCAAGTGTGTGGCAGCCTGTGGAGAGGAGACCTGGACTGTTTGCTAATTCAGGTAAGTGATATGCTGTGTTACATGTTAGCTGTATTTTGACCTGTGCGTATCCATCAGTGTCAGTTTATTTGGTGATGACTGCTCTGTAGTTGCATTATTAAGCAGTCTCTTAGATAAGTTAATTATCTTTTAGATAAGTAAAGCTGCATAATTATACAGAAGGTGTCCCCCCTTTTCTAGTTTGATAAGATTAAAATGTTTTTTTTTGAAAAGGCAATGAATATTAACCTTTGTCACTCCCGTGACTCTAGAAAACACGGGAAGTAATGTTTTATTTCTATTTAAATGAACTTGCTTAATGAGATTTCAGACTGAACCTTACGATCAAGTATAAACTAGATGAAAATCACAGATGGTGATGAGAAACCAGCATCTTTAATGGGATTTTATAGCTGATGCTTATTTTCATTATATTTCAAAAGCTTAAACTAACGTAACCCTTATTCCTGAGCATTGTGACTGATGTGGGAAGTTCTCTAGTGTATGCTGTGCTCCTCTTACTTACTGATACTGAGGAACAGTTACAGAAGTAGGATTAGTAGTCAGAGTCTTAACTGTCTTCTTCAGTAGTGTGTGTAGATCCTAATTAACCCTTTGGGAACGTGTATTCATTTAAACAGATTAACTATAAGGAGGTTAAAGTAAAATGTGAATTTATGTCAGTTTAAGTTATGCTAAAACTTATCACAGATCAAATGACTGTCCTCAAAGGGTTAAAATGTACAAGAAATCATTTTTGTCATTTTACTTTTTTTTCTGTTTACTTTTTTCCCTCATTTTTTTCTTTAGTTTTTATACTTTCCTTCATATCATTTGTTCTGTCAGGTGTTCCCTGGCCATCGCCTTGCCCATCTCCTTCCTCTCGCCCACCTTCTCGCTACCAGTCAGGTCCCAACTCTCTTCCACCTCGGGCAGCCACCCCTACACGGCCGCCCTCCAGGCCCCCCTCGCGGCCATCCAGACCCCCGTCTCACCCCTCTGCTCATGGTTCTCCAGCTCCTGTCTCTACTATGCCTAAACGCATGTCTTCAGAAGGTACAAACCACAATTTGTTCATGGTTTTGTTTGTCTTTGTTTAACTCCTATGTGAGTTTATAATTAGAAAAGTTTCCTCTTCATTATTTGATAACCTATAATTTCTGTGTTTTAACTTTAGTTTATTAAAACTATTTCTATTAACCTTTTATTCATTGGAGAGAAATTTGATAAAATGCTGTGTGAAGTTATGAACTATCCTGAATTGTAAGAATGGGGTTTATCTCTGCCTGGTAATGATGCTCCTTCACGGCCCCAGAAGGTCTGCCCAGGCCTCTACCCCTAGTGTACAGTGTCTGTGGTGGGTGATGGTGAAGAGTCTTGGACTTTCTGTAGAACTTGTCATTTTACAGCCCCTTGGCCAAGGTACTAGTGACCCTACCTGTTGGCCGTAGGCAGGAGTAGTGAATTAGGGATACTTTCTGAGATGGACAGTTCCATGTAGCTGCCTTTGTGTGTCAACCCTTAGATTACAGTAGTGTTTGAAAGTCTACTTGAATCTGGAAGAAGTTCTGGATCTAAGTTAAAATAGTTAATAAAAACCATGTATGAATTTTAATCTTTAGGTATTTTTTTTTGCCCTTGTCAAAGAATAAAATCCTGTAATTCTTGTTCACTGTGTGATGCTAATTCTCCATTGCTGCATATCACATATATGCATATGTTGTAGAAAGGTCACATTTTAACTTAAACGCAGTACAGACATTAAAAACCTGTTTTCTGAATGATAATGTTCTCTTGATCAGAAATTTGTGTTAAAATTTTAACCTGATTTATTAAAATTGCCATTGATTAAACGCCTGTTGAGACTAATACGGTTTTCTGGCATAAAGTGCTTCCCTGGAGAAAACTGCGTTGGCTGCTTTTTTTTTAAATCCTCACCCAAGGATATTTTTCTGTTGACTTTTAGAGAGAGTGGAAGGGAAGGAGAAGGGGGAGAGAGACACTATGCGAGAGAGAGAGACATCCATTGCTTGCCTCCCACACATGGTTGGGGCCAGGATCAAGCCTACAACCGAGGTATGTTCCCTTGGCCACAGTCGAACCCGGCACCCTTCAGTCCTCGGACTGATATGATGCTCTAACCACTGAGCCACACCAGCCAGTGCTGTTGGCTGCTTTTTAATAAATTGTTGCCATCCAGTAAGAGAAGTCATGTGGTTTCTACTAAAGTGGCTGTCGTGCTGATCTGTGGCTTCCTTACTCAGAAGGGCCTGTAATGGTGGCCACTAAACAAAAAGTTAAATTCTGTCCAAGTATTGTCACTGGCTGTTGTTTAAATAAGTGATGTTCCTATCATGAGACTGTGTTGAATAAAACAAGACTCCTTAATGGGTGTGAGCATTTTCACCACATTGCTGGTCGACTCAGTGATCAGGCAGGTGCAGGGATGCTACTTTCAAGGTTTCTTTTTAACTATTTGAATTAAAATGTCTTATAATCATGTAGTTAGGTGACACTGAAGCATTTTTAAGCGTGAACTTCAAAATTAAAACTATTAAATATGGTGGTTTTCTGTGCTTAAATACAGGGGAACATATTTTGTTTCTGTAGTGTTTGATATATTATCAAAAAGAATGAGTTTTTTAAAGTTGCAGTTTGATTTCATTGAGCTATGCCAACCTACTTTATTGGTCTTTTTCTAAGAGATGTAAAAAAATATGTAAAAGTATGCAAACACCCAATTCTTAAATCATTCTTTGATATAAATCAGTCGTGTCTCCTGTTGAAAATTATGATATATAAGATTAACATTCTTTTTACGATTGTATCCATGATTAAATTCCTACTGAGGACACAGATTAATCTGACATTATACAAAGTTTGGCAGCGAGGTGAGGGTGAGGAACTTGGGCTCTGACATGAATGAGTTTGCCAAGTGTTGGCACTGTCAGGCTTCTCTGATGACAGCTATTCTGTCCAGTTTTTTACCTGTTTTGTTTGAAAGTACAATAGACTTCTCTAGAAATAAAAATAATGGGGTGACAGAATTAAAGATGTAGAATTTTGGTAGTTCATATAGTGCAAGTTTCTTCCCCAAATTCAGTTATTCTGGTTTTAAAAGTCATGCCTTAACAGTAGACTTCTCAGCCCATAGCCTGTTGAGTCTGAGGAACTGCTTATGGGTGAGAACTGGTGAAGGCATGGGCTGTAAAATTGGTCACCATGGCAGAACAAGTAGATAAACCAGGATTTTGGAGAAATTTAAGGAGGGTATGTACATACATTTCAGTAATACAAAAATATATAGGGATTAATAGTTTATTCTAAAATATTTTTTATAATTTTAGAAGTAATATAGCAAATTTGAGGGGAAAAGCTAAAAGTATATGGTAGAATAAGTTATTCCATCATGTAGCCATAACTTCCGTTAACACTTTATTATGTTTATTTGTATATGCTTACAAATAATGGATATAGGTTAAACAAATTGCTAAAATCTTTAAGAGTTACAACATTTATTGTTTGATTTCTTACCACCTTCATCCCTCCCTTTCTTTAAAAATAAAGAGAAGTAAAATTTGTTTATGGAACTTCATGGCACAATTCTATAAGAATATGGCCGAAAACGTGTGACTCCCACCCCTTCTTAAACCAAGGAAAACAGGGAGGGGGGAGGGGGGAAATATGTGTGAATGGGGCATATGTGTGTTTAGCAGAAAAGTTTACTGATGGACATTGTGGCATTTATGTGATGTTCACTGTTCCTTTCTTAGGGCCTCCAAGGATGTCCCCAAAGGCCCAGCGACACCCTCGAAACCACAGAGTTTCTGCTGGAAGGGGTTCCATTTCCAGTGGTCTAGAATTTGTATCCCATACCCCACCAAGTGAAGCAGCTGCTCCTCCAGCAGCAAGGACCAGTCCCGCGGGGGGCACGTGGTCATCAGTGGTCAGCGGGGGTAGGTAACGCTCAGCTTAGAGCATGATGACAGTGTTCGTTGTGTAATTCTACGAAATGTTAAAAGGGCTGAGCTTGTGCTGTTTAAGGAAGTATAAGTTATATATTAAAATTAAGTAACTAGAAATTGAAAAATGTATATTTTTATTCTGGGCTCCACAACTTACTCTCACCATATGTTAGAGCAAACCTTGCGATCATTCTGAATTTCATTTTCTCAGTGTGTAAAATAATTTTTGCCTAGCCCTCTATTTATGGACTTGTGGTGAGATTCATGTGCTACTCATAAGTATGATTATACCTTTTATATTTAAAGTACCACTGAAATATAAGTCAGATACAGAATGTAGCACTGTTTGGAGGGACCATATTTCCTATCTTCGTAGCAGCTTGATTCATTCCACATACATTTATTTTGGGCTTACAGTGGTATGTGTTTCTGTAGCATCTGTATATGGCACTAATCCCTGACTGTATTTCCCTTACAAGGAATATCAAACACATGGGAGGGCCCCAAGTTTTATCTGTGACTAGCCTACAGAATGTGCTGACAGCAGCTGTAAAAGTATAAAAAATACACTTTTACTAGATCTTATAATTAAACTAAGGCTGCTCTTTCTACTTCAGTTTTGCTGTCATGATAACTGGAGAGTTAAAGTATGCAGTGATTGCGGTTTTGGTCACAATTTATCAGTGCATTGAACCTTTAAAAGAAAAAGTATCTTTAAGCTTAACAAACAGAAATATACCCAGCTCTGGTAAATGTCTTCAGTTGATACACACCGCTCAGCTCATGAATGTGTAATTATCTTGTAAATTCCTTTGCACTTTCTGTTTTCTTCTTTGGTCTTTAATTATAAGGAAATAACCATTCAATTAACAGAACAGAATTTCTAAAAATTGTGTTTCTTCCTTTCTGCCATCAATCACTCGACACATTCAGATGATCTGGAAATGAACTTTGAGGCTAAAACATGATTATAGGAGCGAAAGAGTGAAAACATAGTTGTTAGAAATACATACAGAACAGTTAACAAATTTGTTCTTTATAATTAGAAGAATGGCAGGTGTTGAAGAATAATTTCTCTCCTTGACCCTTGTATGTTAAAAGTAAAGAACCACTAATGTGAAGCAAATTGAACCATTTTCTCTAAATCTTTGACTCCGAGCTCTACAGATGGGTTTATAATGGAATAAGAAACCTGTTAGATACTCTTCCCCTCTTGGCTAAATTGGATCCCCGACTTCCTTAGTTACAGCAGAAGATATTGACGTGGCAAGAAAGAGCATGTACAGTTAGCCACGAGCTGCTGAAAGGTGTCTGAATTCATGTCGGAAGGAGAAATGTATAAGCCTACTTAGGGATCCCCCCACATACCTTTTTTAAAGAAAGCATCTCACTTCTTAGTAGAGAGTATTGCTATCTTTATTTTATTTTATTAATTTATTTTTTAAAATATGTCTTTATTGATTTCAGAGAGAGGAAGGGAGAGGGAGAGAGAGGGATAGAAACATCAATGATGAGAGTCATTGACCGGCTGCCTCCTGCAGGCCCCCTGCTGAGGATCGAGCCCACAACCCAGGCATGTGCCCTGACCAGGATTAAACCTCTACCTCCTGGATTCTAGATGACGCTCAACCGCTGAGCCACGCCCAGCCAGGCATCTTTATTTTTTATCTTGCCTTAGAAATCCAATTTCTAACTTCATTTAAAATACTGCCTTTAGAATTAACATTGAGTTAGAAGGGAAAACTACAGTTCTGCTTAGGTCAGTGTAGTCTCAGTCACCAACACTATTCCTAAAACTTTGGAAAAGAAAAACGGTGAGGGATAAAGAGGAATTGGGAATGGGGTTGGGTAGGACTGTTCTTACCTAGATCTTCAGAGAAGCCTCTTTGAGGAGGTGACATTTGAGCTGAGAATGTAATGGGTAACTTTTCTTTTTTTTTTAGTTCCAAGATTATCCCCCAAAACTCACAGACCCAGGTCTCCCAGACAAACCAGTATTGGAAATACTCCTAGTGGACCAGTTCTTGCTTCCCCCCAAGCTGGGATCATTCCGGCTGAAGCTGTTGTGATGCCTGTTCCAGCTGCATCTCCTACACCTGCCAGTCCTGCATCCAACAGAGCTGTTACCCCATCTACTGAGGGTACGTAAGAAGGGCTTCCAGTTCCGTGGTGGTTCAGTGCAGCTGTAGTTTTCCCTTCTAACCGAATACATTAATTCTAAAGGCAGTATTTTAAATGAAGTTAGAAATTGGATTTCTGAGACAAAATAGGTGTCACTCTAAAATCACCACCACCATTACAGGCTGAACATTATATGAAAAATGCTGTGTTTTATTCAAGGGTATGTATTTGGGTGCACATTTAAAATTTTATGTAAATGAAGTTAGCTGTTGAAGTAGTACTGCTAATTTCATGTTATTTTTATTTTTAAAATATATCTTTATTGATTTCAGAGAGAGGAAAGGAGAGGGGGAGAGAGAGAGAGAAACATCAATGATGAGAGAGTCATTGATCAAGCCCACAACCCGGGCATGTGCCCTGACCAGGAATCGAACCCTGATTGCCTGGATCCCAGGTCGACGCTCAACCACTGAGCCATGCCCGGCCGGGCTCATGTTATTTTTGAATGTCTTGTTAAGAGGGTTACCATTCTTGAGTAGTAAATAATAATATAAAATAAAATTATTGGTGTTTCATATGCCTGCAGAGGAGAAAAGCCTCTTTAAATGGAAATATTCTTTTCTAAAAAAGTAGGAGACAAAAATTGTTGCATATTTTCCCATTTTACTTTTCTAACTTCTATCTAACTTTGAATTTTTAAAAAAATTATTTTCTAGCTAAGGATTCCAGGCTTCACGATCAGAGGCAGAACTCTCCTGCAGGGAGTAAAGAAAACATGAAGCCCAATGAGACATCACCTGGCTTCTCAAAAGTTGAAAATAAAGGTTAGAGCTTTAAAAATTCTTTAGGTAAAACTGTAGAAATAGGAAGGAGGATATCTGATCACATGCCCAATATAGAGTGTTCTTGGTCAACACTTTTTCTTAGTATTGTGCATATTTAAATGCATGTGACAAATGCAAAGTCTATAATTAATATGTTAAAATTTTTATTGTTTTGATAGAACTTATTTTCATTTCTAACATCCCATCCTAAAAGAAATTTAAGTTAAAGATTAGAAATAAATTTGTACCTAATAGTTATTAATTTTACAGGTATATCACCAATTGTTTCCGAGCATAGAAAACAGATTGATGATTTAAAGAAATTTAAGAATGATTTTAGGGTAAGTGTTGCATTAGAATGTTAAAAAGTAAATATTAAACATCATTAAGATTTTTGTTATCTCTTTAAAGAAAAATGGGTTATGAACAACCACTAGGCATTGAACCGTGTGCATGGGAAGCTAAGCGTTGGTAAAGTTGTCTGCCTGTGCTTTACGGAGGGTGATAAAGTCAGGAGATTTGATGAGAATAATACAGATACAAAGTGAAAGGGAATATAACTTTGATATTGGAAGCTACTCTAACATAAATTATTATTTGGGATTCATTTGGTTACTTTATTCGCTAAAGAGCAGAGCAAGGCTAGGAGTTGATTATCCGATGTGAATAGAAGATATCCTGTACCCTGGGGTTCTGATGTAGCTGCACATTTACATTTTGTGCACAGATTTCTTGTGGTAGAAATCTTTGATAGGCTTGCTGAACATACTCTAATCTTGCCTGAATAACTGTTTCATTCTTTTGCACAATATTTGCTAATACACTGTGCATGTCAATGTATATTTTGAGACCCACTCAAGAGATCGTCCTAAAATTCTACAGATAGGAAATGTGGCAGAATGCTGAAAAGCATGAATTGGGTCTTAGTTTTCCCTTTTGTAAGATGATAGTAACATCATCTATATCAAATAAGGCTGTTGTAACTACTGACTGAGTTTGTATATAGTTTAGAGCAGTGTCCAGCCCATAGTGAGTACTGTAGATATGTTTACCTTCATAGGAACAAAAGCCTCCTTTGAGTGCGTAGGTGACTAGGTTGTGTTGTATAGATATCCTGTTACTGATAAAGACATTACTCTTACAGTATGAAACAGCCTTATTCAGTGTATTTCATGCTTACAGGTAATATTTCATGTGTGTTTGTGCTCATGGAGAAAATTGATTACTAGAGTTACTTAAACTATTTGAGTATAATTATTTCCTTTATTTAGTTACAGCCAAGTTCTACTTCTGAATCTATGGATCAACTGCTAAACAAAAGTAGAGAGGGAGAGAAATCAAGAGATTTGATCAAGGACAAAATTGAACCAAATGCTAAGGATTCTTTCCTTGAAAATAGCAGCAGCAACTGCACCAGTGGCAGCAGCAAGCCGAACAGCCCCAGCATTTCCCCCTCAATCCTCACTAATACAGAGCACAAGAGGGGGCCTGAGGTCACATCCCAAGGGGTTCAGACCTCCAGCCCGGGATGCAAACAGGACAAAGAGGAGAAAGAGGAGAAAAGAGACGCAGCTGAGTGAGTACACCTGTCACGTATCACGCCCCGTCATGTGCTGACCTTCCTTGAGGTGTCCAGGGCTCCCCAGCTCGAGAACTTAACCTGGACGGTGCGCTCTTTCATAAGTAGCTCTCAGATGACAACCAACTTGTCTAAACAAAGGGCATCTTAAGTAAATTAGGTCATTGCATCCTGGACTCTTCCCTTCTCCCCCATTTTTGCATCTGTTGGCAAAAAACAAACAAAAACAAATCTAGGCATAAATTAAGAACAGCTTTTCTGTAAATGTACAGGGAGTTGGAAACTTACTGGCTGTTGGACCTTTATCCCCTGTATGCTTGTCAGAAGCCATCCCCTGGCTGTGCTGCCAGCGGGAAGAACTGCCACTGCCAGCAAGAGGGGTCTCTGGGGCCCTGCTCGGATAAGTGTGGTCCATCAGAAACTGTGTTGTAGCTGATGGTTAGATGCGTTAAGGTAGACTTAATTTGGCACATCCAATATATGGATTATCAATTAAATGGACTTGTAAGGCCTAGCCTCAGAGCCTAACTTAAGCACCGTGGACTTACTTGTTCTGGGTTCCCTACAACACAGTTACAGCTGAACTTTTGGAATGCAGCTTATTGATAAGTTGGGGTGCTTATTCTTGATGTAAGGCAAAAAAGATTTTATTAGTAATATGTTTTCCTGTGGTATGTCATGTAGGAAATGCTTTGCCACATTAAAAAATAGTGCATGCTAGGGAATTGGTATATTAAGGATTGAGTTCCAGGATGTTTTATAAGGGGCTACTACTGTCGTTTCAGTTAAAGTATTTGTTGATTGCCTTTGAGAGAGACATTATATATCATACTTTAAAAAAAAGTCGTCCTGTTTTGGCCAGCCTTGACCAGGTTAAGGAGTGGTATACACGCGTCTGTGTGTGTGTCTTGTTTAATGCCAATCCTCATCTGAGGGTATGTGTCCACTGATTCTTGGGGGGCGGGGGGGGGACGACGACAACAAATATCCATGTGAGAAACATCGATCGGTTACTTCCATACGCACCTCGACCTGCAGTTGAACCCGCAACCTAGTTATGTGCCCTGACTGGGAATGGGGCCCACAGTTTCTGGTCCGTAGGAGGACGCTCCAGCCAAGCCACCCAACCAGGGCTCTGTGTGTCTTAATGAGGTGGATTAATGATCTTTTAGGGAGAATTGTTTAAATATGTAATACATGTTTAGCAATTAAAAAAAAAACAAGAGTGTGGAGTATAAGACTTTAGAGACACGTAAATTCCATGCAGATTTCACTGGCCTGTGTGTTCTGGTTTAGGCAAGTGAGGAAATCAACATTGAATCCCAATGCAAAGGAGTTCAACCCTCGGTCTTTTTCTCAGGTAAATTTATTTCCTCTTTGAAGTCATCTAACCTTTAAAAAAATGGATTTATTCCTATTAGTAATATTTCTTTTCTCATACCTGACATCTAAATTCAATTATAGTATGCTAAAACAACTTTGGTTTAAGTCCCTTTTCTTACGGTCATTAATGAATATTTTTGAGCCAGAAGAAAGATCTTTGTTTTGTCATCAGTAGATACTGTCGGGCAAATCTTTCAGACTTTTTACTCAGAATTTGAAGACAGCTCTCAGGTTCATAGATATACTGTTACTATTTTACTGAATTTATAAGGAAATAGATTTCTTTTAAAAAATATTTTAAAACACTTTTTCCAGTTTCTTAAGTCACTGCTACTATTTTTAATAGTATTATTGAATAATTAGTGAAACTTGACTTTAACTTTCTACCAAAGTGTTTTTTCTTTTATTTAAAACCTGTGAAATTTATATTCTATAAGTCTTTTCATTAAAACTTAAAATTAAAAGATGGGGAAAATCAGTCTTCAAGTTGGAATAATAGCGTTTCACCTTACGAGAGTTGGTTTTTGTTTTTGTAGCCAAAGCCTTCTACCACCCCAACTTCGCCTCGTCCTCAAGCACAGCCTAGCCCATCTATGGTGGGCCATCAGCAGCCAACCCCAGTTTATACTCAGCCCGTTTGTTTTGCACCAAATATGATGTATCCAGTCCCTGTGAGCCCAGGCGTGCAAGTAAGTCATAGAACCTAACGCTCCTTTGCTCCCCATGCTTATTTGCTTTGGACACCGAGGGCTCTGCAGGTGCACAGAGACTGGAGGCAGCAATGGCATAACAAGTGTTTGGACAGGGGAGACGTGCAGGGGTGTGGTGTGTGGTTGGTGTAAGGACCTAAATCTGAGAGAGTTTCTGATGGGAAAGATGGTTTAGATTTACTGTAGTTTGGGGTTTGTCCTTCTAGTTGTGGGTGTGATTTTGTTTTTTAATGATTCATAGAAAATCAGGAAACTTCAGAGCCAGCTCACTAGCAATATACAGCTGAGAGAGAGGTAAAATGTGTTCCTATTATTTTGAGAGCCTAACCTTCCTTTTTTTTTTTTTTTTTTTTTTTAACCTCTCAAGCCTTTATACCCTATACCTATGACGCCCATGCCAGTGAACCAAGCCAAGACCTATAGAGCAGGTAAAGGTGAGAATATTCCTGCCTGTGTTTGCTTGTAGTCTGCATGCTGCATGAATTAAGTAACGCAGTTTATAGTGAAGAGACACTTGCGGTTCAGCTTTGACTTTGATGACCGACATTACATAAGGTATTCAGATGCATTTTTCATGAACAAAACAGGAGGAGAAATACTCATCAGTTGTGAGTATTCAGGATCTTAAAAAAAACAACTGATTTTTGACGTTTTCAATGTTAAATTTGAAAAGAGGGTTTGCTAAATTAATCTACCAAGGTTCCTGACATTCTTACTTTATACTAACATATAATTTCCCCCCCAAATCCTGAATTTCTTTTAAAGCAGAGGGCAGCTTATTTTAGATTCCATCAAAATCCCTCTAGAGGGGTGTTTCCCCATCTTTAAAATGAGTGTTTTACCTCAGAGACAGACAACAGTGTGGTGATACCAGAGGGAAAGGGGTGGGTGGAGGTAGAAGAAGGCAGCGGGGGATAAATGGTGATGGAAGGAGACTTGATCTGGGGTGGTGAACACAATACAATATACAGGTGATGTATCATAGAATTATAGCCTTAAAATGTATAAAATTTTATTATCACCCCAATAAATTCAATAAAAAAAATTAAAATAAGGGTTTTATAATGTAGTTATATAATCTAGTATTATATACTTGTTGATGAAAGAGTCTTCATAGAAAAAAACAATAGAAAGTTGAATGATTTGTATAAAAGACATTTCTCGCCATGGCTGGTGTGGCGCAGTGGTTAGAGCAGCGGCCCGCACACCAAACAGTCTCGGGTTCGATTCCTGGTCAAGGGCATGTGCCTGGGTTGCAGGTTCGCTCCCTGCCCCCTGGACTGGGTGTGTGCGGAAGGCAACCTGTCGCTGTGTCTTTCTCACATCTGTCTCTTTCTCCCTTCCCCTCTCTCTGAAATCAATAAACATATCAGATGCTTTTTTGATCTGGGGAATCTCAAGATTAAATTCAGAAAAATGTTAATGTATTGATCTCCTCTGTTTTCAAGTTTGTTTTTCTAAATAGATAAAACATATAACTGGTTTTCCTACTAAATTTTAGCAACAGTTACTACATTTTTAGCAAAAAAAAATTCAGATATTTAAAATAAAAACCATATTCTGTCTCTAAACTAGCAGCTACTTTTGTAAATAGTTCTGATGATTTTATGAACATACCAAGTTATACCTTTTTGTGCCTCGTACCTGTTGTAAGCAGTGGTTATGACTCCTTTCCTCAAGTGGCTTGTTTAGCATCGCACCATAAACCCATTACAGAACAGTCAGTGCGGTAACAGATGTGACGAAAGGGCACACACAGCTTGCAGCCAGCTCTTCTAGGGGAACGGGAAGGGCATATAGAGAAAATGACATTTGAGCAAAAACTTTTTTTTTTTTTTTTTTTAAACATATGCTTATTGATTTCAGAGAGAGGAAAGGAGGAGGGAAGAGAGAGAGATAGAAACATCAATGATGAGAGAGTCATTGATCGGCTGCCTAGCCCGCAACCCTGGCATGTGCCCTGACCGGGAATCGAACCCCGATCTCCTGGATCCTAGGTTGGTGCTCAACCACTGAGCCACGCCTGGCCGGGCGAGCAAAAATCTTAATTGGAGCTTTAATGGGGGGACGACCAGAGGTAGATATCTGTGTGGAATAATAAAAGACAAAGTAATTTTTTAAAAGAGCTATTACTTGGAAACCTACATGACAGCATGTGATTTCTGTGTTTGGGAGAGCAAGAAGTTGTTGGAGAACACAGTGGTGGGAAATTAAGAGAGATGGAGTTAAGATTAGTGTTGGGTCTATTTTGGCTTTTTTGTTGTATGTTTTTCTTTGAATAAATCCAGTGCCCTTCTCTAGCGAGTGGTATTATAAAACAGGGATTCTCTAAGAAGTAGTATGAAGGAAATGTCTCATAGTGTGGTCGTGTTTGGGGGTTCATCATAGAGGCTCTCTCTAAGGAAGTTGCTTTCAAGCTGAATTGCCAAAGCTGGGAGTTGGGGGATCAGTGTTTGGGGCTGAGGAACAGCATGGGTGGTGGGAAAATGACCCAGAGTGACTGAAGTGGTGGTGGTGGGGGCGGTAATAGCCTGGCACCAGAGAGGCAAGCAGGAGGGCCAAGTCCTGCAGAGCCTTGTGGACGTGTCCGTGTATTTTGTGCCATGAAGATGCTGGTTTTTTACGCTGTTACCTTTCCTGCAGTACCAAATATGCCCCAGCAGCGGCAAGACCAGCATCATCAGAGCACCATGATGCACCCCGCCTCGGCAGCAGGCCCCCCGATCGTGGCTACCCCGCCAGCTTACTCCACACAGTACGTTGCCTATAGTCCTCAGCAGTTTCCAAACCAGCCTCTTGTTCAGCACGTGCCACATTACCAGTCACAGGTAAGGCTGACAGGACCTAACCCATAGTTTTTGTTCCATTTAAATAACTTCTGATTTTAACTTTTACTATGGTCAAGGGGTTTTCCGTTACATCTGGTGCTTTTTCTTATGCTGTGGCTTTTTTTTTTTTTTTTTTTTGCAAAAAACTCAATTACTGTGTTTATTTTTTAATGTTTCTTTACGTTTATTGTTGAGATCATTACTGATGTCCCCCCTTGATCCCCTCTACCCCACATCCATCCCACCCCCAAGCCCTCCCCACACCGATGTCCGCATCCATGGGCCATGCCCATAAACATTCAAGTTCCCTGATTAATCTCTCCCCACCCACATCCCTCCCCGCCTTTCCTCTGAGATCCCTCAGTTTGTTCCAAGCTTCTATGTCTCTGGATCCACTATGTTCATCAGTTTATTTTGTTTATTATATTCCACATATAAGTAAGATCATTTGGTACTTGTCTTTCTCTGCCTGGCTTATTTCACTTAGCATAATACTTTCTAGTTCCCTCCATGCTGTGCCAAAGGCTAAAAGGTCCTTCCTCTTTACAGCTGCATAGTATTCCATGGTGTAAATGTGCCACTCATCTCCTGATGGGCACTTGGGCTGTTTCCAAATCTTAGCCATTGTAAATTGTGCTGCTATGAACATAGGGGTGCGTAGGTTCTTTGCAATTGGTGTTTGAGGTTCCTTAGGATATATTCCTAGAAGTGGGATCACTGGGTGGGGACTTTTAATGTATATTGGAAGGTTGTTGATTATTTTAATTATTTCAAAAGAAATAGCCCAGAAAAGTTCTAGATTTTTCAGTTGTTTTTGGAAATCCGGACACCGTGGCGTTAAGACATCTAACTAAACTCTGCTTGAATGCATCTGCTTGATGTTTGTCTTTGTTTTTGTCTCTGGATGCAGCACCCTCATGTCTACAGCCCTGTGATTCAGGGCAATGCCAGGATGATGGCACCCGCAGCACACGCCCAGCCCGGCCTTGTGTCGTCTTCCGCGGCTCAGTACGGGGCTCACGAGCAGACGCACGCGATGTATGGTAGGAAGCACTTTGTCTATCTTTCTCAGTGTGTGACTATTTAAAACTGTGTTTTAAAGCTCTGAAAATATACTGTTTGAGAATAACGTGGCCTTTGAATGACATTGAGGGTCAAGAATCTAAAGAAAAGATGGACCCATTTCTATCTCTTACCTGCTTAAGACTTGGCCGGTTATTTCTCCTTCTTTTCCTGAAATTCCTCTGTTCAAACATCTCCCCGTTAACTGAGCATAACAGTGTGTGTCAGAAAGCGTCTTCTGTGGAGAAAGGTGTCTTTCTCCCCTTCCTCCGCAGTGCTGTCATTTGGCATGTCCTGCGTAAGGCACGCAAGGAAGTTTCACCACAGCGAGCGCTCCTCCCAGCGCTCCTCACCTCCTGCTTCGGGGTCACTGGCTTTACGTGCGTTTATTGCTGTTTGTTATAACGCTATCATGTCATGCTGTATTTTAAGTGGTTAAAATTGTGTAATATTAGATCCGCTTTAGACATTTACACTTTAAATATAATCAATAGAAACAGTAGTAAAATGAAAATAAGTTTTCTATGTAAAATTAAATATACGTAAGAGTAATTACTAATAAGCAAAAATTACCGTCGTAGTTTCATAGCTGGAGAACTTTGTACAGGCCAATTTAGCAGCTACCTAAAGTTCTAAAATAATACAGTTTTCAATGCTGAGAATTTTAAACAGATTTCCACTTACATCTGTGTAATATAGAATTAATGGGTTTTCCCATCTTTATGTTTTAGTAAAGATGTTTTCCCATCTTTAGTGCCAGTTTTAGTAAGATGTAGGTTTTGTCTTGGGCCTTTCTGAGGTTTTGGCATGTCCAGCTTTGGGAGTGCAGGAAAGATTTCAGTTTCTTCATGCAATAGAAAAGAACACCACAGCAGTGAACTTACAATTACATGTAACCACATGGACGTTTCATTTTTTAAACCTTTTTCAAGTCTTTGAATGACTTGAGAATGTAAAGATTTTCATTTTTTAACTTTACAGGAAGCTTTCTTGTCACTCGTAGCCCAGCGCTATGCTTTCTCCCTGGAGGCGGCTCCTGTTGCACAGGGTCACTGACCTGACACGGTTAAAGGTGTTATTTTTATAATGTGCAGATGTCTGATTTTACTTTTTCTACATTATCACTTAAAACTTTCTATTGTGGATTATGCACTTTAAATAAAAATGATGTAATTGCTACATTTCTTTCAAGATGCCCATCCATAATTTAATTGAAAAATATACCGCCAGACTGATTTGAAGTGTGATTTTTTGTTGTGATCTCCTCTCATTGGCTTGCCTTTCGTTGTTTTAACCAGGACTGAGGATGTATGAAAAGGCACCATTGATTTCTCACATTGGCTTTTATGCAATTTGTATACATTTCAACAATTTTCCAGTTTGTTAAAGGCTTAGGTGAAAAGTTCATGGTGATTGTTTTATATTTCTGGTGAATACATCATGATTTAACAAATGGGAAAAAGACATTTCTTCCCTTCCTTTTTCTGGCACACTCCTCTTGGAATAAGACCTGAGACTTTGAGCTAAAGTTTCCATTGCTTTTAGAAGCTAGCTGTTTTGCGCCCGTGATTTTGAGACTTTGTAGTGATACTGTAATGTTGAGCAGGATCTTTCTCCTCAGTGCCAGCATCTGGCTCTGACTTTGGGATGGGTGTTCATTGGTTTGAAACAGCCTCATTGGTTCGAAACGGCCTGCACAATAAATACTGTTATTTGGGGCCCTAGTGGTTTTTATAACTACCTCCCCAGAACATTTCATTTGAGAAACACTTGGCCTTGAACCCTGAAGTCCATTCAAGTACTGGTAAATAGGAAATACTGCAAACAAAACAAAACAAAACACTAGACTTAATATACTAGATATCAGCGGCAGTTTTTGTTGTGTTTTTTTTTTTAATATCTTTATTGATTTCAAAGAGGGAGAGATAGAAACATCAATGATGAGAGAGTCATTGATCGGCTGCCTCCTGCACGCCCCCTACCGGGGATCGAGCGCACAACCTGGGCTTGTGCCCTGACCAGGAATCAAACCAAGATCTCCTGGATCCTAGGTCGATGCTCATCCACTGAGCTGCGTCGGCCAGGCATGGACAGTTCTTTAATGCCAGGAGAAAGTGGCTCAACCAAACCTGAACTACTTTCCTGCAATTTACACAAGCTGAATTTCCTGGATACCTGTCGATGAGGCTGGTGAGGGCAAGGCTGTGGACTTCATATGATTGCTGCTTGTTAACTGAGGTTCTCTTGGATACTTCATACATTCAAAAGAACACTAGGGAATTATTTTGTTCTTTGCTGTCATAAACCATAATTTAATCTGCTAAAGCAAGTTCATTAATTCTTCAGTAACTCATTTATTTTAGATCTTCTAAATCCTAATTATTGCCAAATACAGACAAATTTTAAGTATGTTATTTTAAACTAAGACAAAACTGTTGCATAGAAATGCTAATTGTATACTCATCTCCTTTGAATACTTTATATTTTGTATTCCCAAAAGAACCAAATATTTTGATTATGTGGAGGTTTATTTTTAAGCTACCTCCTCTCTAGATTTTTAAAACTTTTTATATAAACAAAAGAATATGCACCCAGATGTTAGTGATAGTTATGTCACCCTTTTGTCATTCATTAGTTGGTATGGTCGTAGCAAAGACTTTGAGACTAGAAAGGACCAGTAATGACTGAGAGGCTATTTTAAAATTTTTAGTATATTTAATATAAATATGCTAACAGATTACTGAACAGTTGTTAGGAGATACACGTACATTCTGAGTGATTGCTGACCCTGTTCTCTCCCTAGCTCTCTTAGAGAGGACTTTGATCACAGACTTCATCTCTCTGATCCTAATGTTAACTTTTATCATTGCCTCAGCCCCTCCCTCCTAAGAAGTTACTTTTTGTTTCCTTAACATCTAGTTTTCTAATTCATCAGCTTTGTTTTATGGTGGCGGTGTTTTCCCTTTCAGAAATAGCACTAATGAAACTTCCTCTACATAGAGCCATCAGGAAGAGTTAGGTCTAGAATCCTTTTTTGGTTTGTTTTTGGTAGTTTAATGCAGATAAATGAGAAAATACAGCAGGCAAAAAAACTTAAAATGCACCTATTATCTCTCCACCTGACAACACCTGTTAACATTTTGGTGTATATCCTTTTCGACTGTATTTAAACACACACCTATATGTAGTCGTTGTAATAAGAAATGATACCATACCCATGTTTAACGTTACTGTTATTATGTTTCTAAATGTTTGGATCCAGTACCAGAGGCCTAATAAACATCTTACAGAATGATGACATTCTATTAATAGTGATTTGCGGAATTGTCTTTTGAATTAAATTGGGTAAACTTTATTTTATTTGGTATCAGGTTGTTTGGTGGAATGCCACGTTGGTCTGTTTATTAGATAATAATTTTATTACTGTTATTTAAGGCAGTTAGCCTGCAGACTTGACACCCAGCACAGAAGAAAGTGTCTGCCTTCAGCTCTATCATATTTAACTTTGTAGCGATCTTTAAAGTGCTGTCGTCTCTTATAAAATAAGAATGAGTTATGCATGAATATAAAGAATTCACTAAATATGTCAACCTTTCCAGAAAATTAGGAAAATGCAGACCTCAAAAGGCTAATTTACCTTTCTATTTCCCAAATTCAGCATGTCCCAAATTACCATACAACAAGGAGACAAGCCCTTCTTTCTACTTTGCCAGTGAGTTGGGTTTTTTATACTAATTTTAATTGAACAGTAAAACACTTTTTAAAGAATACATGTTAAGGGAATAGACTTGTTGAGCAATATTTTCCTTGTGCCAGACAAAATTATTAAAAATATGTGTATCTGTAACTAATTCAGAGTTTTTAAAAAGGAAATATAACCCAGCCTAAGAAAGCTGGGGTAAAAAAATTGAGTTGTTTGAGAAATTAATTTTTGCATACCAAGCAAACATGTGACTGTTTTGGAAATGCCTAATATTTTCCTTGTGTGAAAAACTTCTGAATAGCTTTTTTTTTTTTTTTTTTTTTAACCAAGCCACAAACTTAGTCTTAAAAAAAAAAATCTTTAAAATGGGGGTTTTTTAGTATTCTGGTAAGAAATTTATTCTTACAAGAGTTTTGAATTGAAGAGGGTTGAAAAACTAGGGGAGAAACATTTCTGTCTGTCTTTTTAGTCTTTGCATGACTGAAGGTTTAAAATATTTAGGTAGCAACACCTCAGGATGTCTTGAGTTTAAGCAGGAAAGCATGACCTACCAGAGATTATCTTTGGCAGCACCCGCCCCTCTCACTCCAGTGAAAGGTAAATGATTGCTCCTACAGGGAGGAAGTCTGGGCAGAGCTTTTGGAAATGAACTTGTAAGGTGTGTTTTCTCTATTTGTAGGGCAATTTTTCAATAAATCTGGTCATGGGCTTTTGATATTTGAATAGGAACGGTACTGACTTACAGAAATCCTTTGAAAATTTATGTTGGTAATGTGTCACTTTATGTGAAATACTATATTCTAGGGGACATTAAGGATTAAAATTTTATTTTAGAGACTAAATTTTGAATTATTTTAGAGTGACTCAATGTCTGAATCTACTAAATGCTAGATTTTAAAAAGCCTTTGGAAAATATTTGACTTAAATTTTCATTAATTGTGCCATGACTTGGTATCCAAAAATAAGTGTATAAATATTATCTGTGTGGTGCTAGGAAATGTTAACAAATTTAATCCTTTAATAGATGCTCTTTAAAAAGGAGTCTTGCTGTGTCTATACTGTTAAAGGAAACTGTGTATGTGACGTACTATGTAAAAGACAGTGCCAGCAATTAATTGTATTATTTACTCAGTTTGAGGTCTCACATATAGTTATCCTCACCATCTTACTGTCTCTGTTAGTTTTGGAGCCAGTTTCCTGGTAAGTAGCTTAAAGGTCCTTAATCATCACACCTAAGCATTAATTCCCTCGCACAACTTCCCTTAAAAAGGAGCATCAGCACTTGTTAAAAGAAACTAACAGCGGGGCTGCTATTTGTCATTAATTTGCCACTTCAGACTCCCCTCTCCCTTTTCTAAGCCATTTTGTCATGGTTTGGTCTAGTTGCCTTTTACTCCCCTTTTAAAGAGTTTTCAACTTTCCTTCACTTCCTTTTTTCTAAATTTAACAGCAGATTTAAAAGTTGGAAGATTTTGTTTGGCTTTGTTTCATTTTTAAAGTTGTGCAGTGCTGGTGATCTCTCAGAGCTTGTGCATCCAAGGTCAAAACGAAAAAACCTACTTACAAATTAAACACATGGCTTTCTGGACTGAATTGGCTTCAGTAAGATCCTGGCTTAGTAAACTATTTTTGGAATGTGGTTAGTGTTAGGAGGATTTGAAAAATCATGTATTTGGAGTTTTGAACATTTATATCAAGGAACACAGCCAGTAGGAAACTCGTGGACCAGGTCTGGCCCAAAAAAGGGACACTTCTTTGACTTGCTTGACCTAATTCAGGTTTCATGAAGGCAGCTGAAGTTTTATGAATAGAAGTGTTTAACTGATGAGTAGCTAAATCAAACTGTTGAAGAAAATTCACTTTATTGTTAACCTGTCTGAAATCTTTAGCTAAATAACGAGCATGTGTAATAAGAGCAGCTAAATGATAAACTTCGTAAAGCTCAGAACTGCCTGCCCTTTGCTCTCCGCTGCTTTTTCTCCGATTCTGTTCAGTTGTTTCATTTACTCTAGATTGTTCCCTTTTGTTTCTTTTCTTTCCTTCCAAGGTTTTTCCCCCTCAGCCTTTTTTTTTTTTTTTTTTTTTTTAATCCTCACCCAAGAATATGTATGTTTATTTATTGATTTGAGAGAGAGAGAGAGAAACATTGATGACCGAGGTCAAACCCACAACCTTCTGGTGTAGGACGCAGCACTCCAGTCCTGGGGCCACCCAGGCTGGGCCCCTCAGCCTTTTAACTTTCATTCTGTCCCTCCTTTTTTTGTCTCCTCCTTCTGGCCTTTCAAGGAACCAAACTACAGGGTGTCCCAAAAACATGTAACAGCTGATGGCTCAGTTTTGAAAATGAAATGTATTTTAATAAGCATTGCCTTTATAATTATTCAAAGTGTGTGTGTGCATTTTTTTGGGACACCCTATATATTTTTATTAGTATTGAATTAATTAGCAACTCAGTTTTCATATTTGAGGAAGAAAAGTTGTTCCTGGGAAAGGTACTTGCTTTGTATCTTTTAAGCAAGAAGATGAACAAAGGAAAATAATTCTAATTAAATTTCCTTCAGTTTTATTTGCAGCTTATGAACTATAGATTACATCTGCTTTATTTTTCTTATAATACGTTGCCGTTTAGGGAAGGGGGAGAAGGAGGGATTTTTAAACAAAAGCCTAGCTGGAAGTATATACGTACTGTGAAGGTAAACGAGGTATAGCTTCAATTACTTTATCCCATAGGCTTTAAATACTGGTAAACCGTCACAGAGATGCCTCTTAAAAATGCATAGTAAGCCCAGCCAGCGTGGCTCAGCGGTTGAGCATCAACCTAGGATCCAGGAGATTGCAGTTCGATTCCCAATCAGGGCACATGCCCAGGTTGTGGGTTCAATCCCCAGCAGGGGGCGTGCAGGTGGCAACCAGTCAATGATTCTCATCATTGATGTTTCTCTCTCTCTCCCTCTCACTTCCTCCTCTCTCTGAAATCAATAATTAAAAAATAATAAATTAAAAATGCATAATAAAATGTATTTTATCTTTAATTTTCTTTAAGTAATTTCAAGATTTTGACATTCTTCTAATTGGTGAATAACAATTATGAAACTTCATGGTCATGCTAGAGTTTATTTTTTTATTTTGTTACTTTTTATTTTCTTAATACTTTGGTTATAAGATAATTAAAAGTGAAATTTAAAACTTTTTAGTCCAAAAATTTCTTAAACAGTTTTAAAAAACAGGATCTCTGGGATCCTATATTCTATGAAACCTCATAAATAGAATTTGGGATTCAGGAATTTCCCCAGATTTAGTATTGCTGCAAATGAACCATTTAAGAAGCTTGGAGCCAGGGAGCATTTTAATGCCCATGATTTGAAGATGAGGGAGCACGAATGACTGGACATCACTTTCCAGTAGGACTCTGTGGCAATGGAATAGTGGTGCCTAATCAGCACTCACTGCAGGAGTTCTTTCCGTTATTTAAAAATAAATTTGAAAAATATAAGTGTAAGATTTTTACAATAACAAAGATTCGAAATTTATGTCAAATCTTTTAGACCAAGTCAGTGCCTAGACAGTTGGAGGGGATCTGAAAGTTAACGAGCGTGATGGTAAAGCATGGCATAATTTTAATAAGCCTGTAAGTTAGAAGACAGACACTGACTGCTTTCATAGGCTCATGGAACTATGAAAGCAGAGTATTTTTCCTAGCTCCTAGAAAACAGTCACTGGCTTTTCTTAAAGAAAGCACCCAGAGAAATATTGTATATCAACTATACTTAAATTAAAAAATAATTACAGGAAAAACTTTTTAAAGACAAAAAAACACACCCAAAGAATATGTTAACTCTTATAAGTTAGGCAAATTCCCCAATGTATAAACAAAAGTGCTTTCTTTGTTTAATCTGATCTGGGCATTATGCCCACTCTGGCGTTGGCAGTGGATGCACAGGTGATCCTAGCACTGGCTTTTTGCCTTGCCCTTCCCTCTTTTAAAGATACATATGCAGTTGGGGCCATAAACAGTTAGGCTAGAGTGTTGGTGGCCTTTGGCCCTGCAACGTCAAGCGTTACAGAATTGCTTTGTGTGCCTAACCCTCTGCATAACACTGACATGGGACTCACCCAGAGTTCTTTATTCTGGTGGCCCTCACAGCCTTGCCTGTTAGACTGCTGGAGTTGGGGTGCCTGATCCCAAAGCAGTGCTTGCTTCTCCCCATTACCCCCCTATATGTCTGTATATGTTTGGGCTAGCTTCTCAGGGATTTTAGGAGTAATTTGAGAGAAAGCTGGGAGTCACGGGTTGCTAGAACACTGTCCTCAGCTCATTGCTACATCATTGCTTGTATCAGTGTGCTGTTGATAGTCACTAGAAGCAATTAACCCATCTTACTGCGCTTTTTATTCTCAAATCGCTTTTTGGAAAGACGTGAATAAATGCATCTAGATCTACTCTCCCTGTTTTATACCAAGTATGGTCCGTGCTGAGATTCACAAAGAATTGGCTTTGGGTTCTTATCTTTAATGAACATGGTTTTACTTAAACTGGCTCATTCTATTTCCTTTGAAGTTGCTCTAACTAGTAAAATTCTTTCTAACGGTCCGGAATCTTTGAAGAGACTTCATTTTCTACATAGTTTAGGTAATTCTATTTACTAGATTTTTATAAAGCAAGGTGAGAGATCCTTGAACGGGGAGTGCCCATGGGGCTTCTGTGACCGAGAAACCGTTGTGGTCATTGGCCTTGAGGATGGAGCCTCGACCTTGCCGCGTTCCTTGTCCAGCCCCTTACCTCCAGGCCTGAGGTAGTCTGTGCCATGGGACACTGCGCAGCTCCAGGGCAGTAGCATGGTGAGGTTAGCCAGATGATGGCCTTGAGCTACAGTGCGTTCGCGCGCGTGTGCGTGTGTGTGTGTGTGTGAAAGATTGAGTTGTTTCTGCCTGTATTAAGTTACCTTTTCAGGAAAACCTAGTGACTGTTTTAAGAGTAAATCTTAATTAGATTTTAATATAACGTATACAGTTGTGTTATCAGTAAAATGCTAGTCTGATTGTTAAGCAATAACTTCACATTTATTTTTTTCATGAAAATTGATGGTTTAGATGGAGTAAAATGTAGAGATCGATAGCAGCGTAAGTTAGGCTCTGAACATCGAGAGAGCTCAGTTGACAGGCATAGAGGAGCAGCTGGCGTCACCACGTCATTGTACACACTCCTTTTTCTTTCACTCCAGTTTCCACTGGCTCCCTTGCTCAGCAGTACGCGCACCCTAATGCTACCCTGCACCCACATACTCCACATCCTCAGCCTTCGGCCACCCCCACCGGACAGCAGCAAAGCCAGCATGGTGGAAGTCACCCTGCGCCCAGCCCCGTTCAGGTGAGGAGACCTGCATCCCTGCTTCCTCTCCAGGGCCAAGCATCCCCTTCCGTGCCTGGCAGGGGCTGGTACTCGTGAGCAGGACACCTGGCTGCCCTGCCTCCTGGGGCCAGTGCACCACTCTGCAGGCTGCCCCAGGCCAGTTTTAAGCCATATTAAGAGACATATTAGGAATATGGTGATTGCGTAAGTTTTGGAAACATCAGCATTAAAAAATCAAATTTAACAGGATGAGGAATTTGCTCAGGGATTTTTTTTTTATTCCTGATGTTACTGAGTTATTTTTCTAGTTAGTTTCTTGAATCATATTTGTTAACAGGCGGTTAAGGATCCCTGACATTGTCAGTTCCCTGGGGCAGTGGTCTTGTTTCACCCCTGCCTGGTTGAGGGCTTGTACCCCAGGAAGGGTCCCTGAATAAGCCCTCCCCTGCCCTCTCACTGTCTGTCCCACGCTTGCTGTTGCCCCCACCTTTCATGGGCCCAGGGGGAGCCTGTTCTCTTGCACAAGGCTCAGTTCTGGGTGACCCTTGACTGCTTTTCATTTAAAAAGTGTTTTTCTTCATTCTTTCTGTCACTTTGCAGCACCATCAGCACCAGGCCGCCCAGGCCCTCCATCTGGCCAGCCCGCAGCAGCAGTCAGCCATCTACCACGCGGGGCTTGCGCCCACCCCCCCATCCATGACACCTGCCTCCAACACGCAGTCGCCACAGAATAGTTTCCCAGCAGCACAACAGACCGTCTTCACGATTCACCCTTCTCATGTTCAGCCGGCCTACACCAACCCACCCCACATGGCCCACGTACCTCAGGTAAATCAGCTTTAGCCATCTTTCTGTCACCACCAAGTAGCATAGGAAAGTTACCAGATAAGCAGCAAAGAGCCGGATGCTCTCCAAGCTAGGAAGCCCTGTGTGTGATCTGCCTGTGTCCTTACTCCCGCTCAAATACATGTGATCTGGCCCTAAATGATGTTTGTGTGGTTTTGTAATGGATCAGTGAAGCTGCTGATTGGTCAGTCCTTTAACGTTTTCCAGCTGAGACCCTATAAATATCTATGACTCTGGAATGCAACCCAGTCCTTTCCTTCCTGTGTCTGCTTTCTATGTTTAAATAGCTTCATTGATTTTATATATATGTGAGTGTCTACATATATATATATATAATCTCTTTTGCACACGTACGCCTGCGCACACATGAAGTGTGTGGCAGAGAGGATGAACCTTCACAAATCTTAACTCCCTGAGTACCTGGGCCTGTCAGCTAGAATGTTGGCCACGTGAATTCCAGAGAAATCCCTCCTCGTTTTTTCTGGCTTTCCATACAGCCGTTTTGACCATATGTTGTACTTCTTGAAAAGGCTGGTGCAGTGTAACGAGAGCTGAAAGCACCCAGGTGTCTCATTTTCTTACAGAGCAGCCCTGGGTGCACTTTGGAGCTCACCTCCAGGGTGATCTTCTAAAGGTTGAGAGGTGTGGTTTTTATCTCAGTGGTTGCTGTCTGCATCAGCTTCTGACAAAAGTCCAGTGCAGTCCAGGGCCAGGGTGGATTGTCTGAATGAGGAGAAGGGGCTGCACGAAGCTGGGCTCTGACACTGTCCTGAGGCCCGCCCGGAGCTGTGAGGGTGATTGGCTGTCCTTGACGTCATCTCTGCTGCTTTCATACAGCTCTTAGGCAGGTCTAAGCTAGACTGCCTTGCTGAGCTCCAGTTCATGTCAGACGGTGCCACCGCGGCTCTGGCGTGGTGGGGGCTGGCGATGCGCCTCAGTGGGTGCTAACTCAGGTGACCTTGTCATGGAGCCCACAGCTCAGGAGTTTGCAGTGTGGTGCATGGCAGTGGGCAGTTTGCTCTGGACTCTGGATGGTGGGGAGGGAGCTGGTTTGGTCAGGTGAGGGCCAGCGTGGTTGGCTGAATCAGGAGCCTCGTGAGAGCCGGAGTCCTGTAGATGTCTAGCAGAGGCTGGTGGCTACGTAGGTGTGTGAGTTTACATGGAGGTTGGGGTTCCTAAAACCTCACTTTTGTGTTTTTGTGCTGAAAGAGCAAAATGGATTAACACAGGGAAGCCCAGATACACCCTGGGCCCACTTGAATATGAAAGGTAATGAAAACAGCATTTGATTCAAGGCTTTTATGGTCTGGAACTGTGCACAGTGTGGGAGGCAGGAAAACGGCTCTTCCTGGCCCTACCCAATCCCTGCAGAGCTGGGAGCTGCCTGTTTGGGCTAAAACCTTCCCAACTCGACGGTGAGACCAGGTTGAATCCCTGTTGCTCAGTACTGGGACCCTGGGCTGGCCTGGATTGTTGCTTACTGCCCCCCATCACCCTGGAGCCTTCACTGCAGCCTCCTCCTCCTGCTGCTCCGTCGGCGTCTCTCTTAGCAGAGCAGAGCTGCCCGAGCCTCTTCTCACCGCCCTGGCTCAGCCTTCACTGAGGTGTGCTGGTGAGCAGGCAGGAGCGGGGGGCGGGGCGGGAGGCCAGCAGGGAGAGTGATCCCTAGGACAGGATCTGACAGTTTCCACTTACGTAACAACCTGCTTCCCTGTTCAAAAGGAACATCCTTGTAAAACTGCTTTGGGCCCCACGTGGAAGCCAGGTTCTGAAGCAGGGTTGCACCTCGCCTGCCAAGCTGGCCACACATCCTTGGGGTCGGGGTGTGATCTTTGCCCCACACACAGAATCAGTGATCAGGAGTCTTGGTGGCTCGGACATGCAGCCCTGGTTCTGCCAGGCTCCTGGGTGCCTGCTCCCTTGGCCTCGCAGGATTGAGCTGATGAAGGGTGAAAGTGTCTGTAGGTCAGTTATGTTCCACTAGGGAGCATCCCCAGGGAAAAGAAGGGGCCCTGAGGGCCCACTGGGGCCCTTTCCCGAGAGCCCCAGCCCCACGAAAGGCACAGTTGACATGTTGTTGAAGTGGAGATGTTGCCTGTATCCGTAAAAGAGCTCTCTGTTTCAGGCTCATGTACAGTCAGGAATGGTTCCTTCTCATCCAACTGCCCATGCGCCAATGATGCTAATGACGACACAGCCACCCGGCGGTCCCCAGGCCGCCCTCGCTCAAAGTGCACTACAGCCCATTCCAGTCTCGACAACAGCGCATTTCCCCTATATGACGCACCCTTCAGGTGAGGCGTGTGTGTGCAGGGGCCGCCGGGCACCCCAAAGCATTCTGCTCGCACAGGTCGAATGGCAGGCAGGGCAGCGCTTCAAGCCCGCATCTGAGAACTAGCAGACCCGTCAGTGTGCACAGGAGGGACTGTGATGCTCAGCCAGGGTCAGGGCCTGAGGCTCCGGGCCGAGTCTGTGTGTTCCGCTGGTGCCGGTCTGGCTTGGTGAGCAGCAGCGGCAGCATCTGTGGAGTGATGCCGCCTAGGACTCAGTTGGCCTTCCTTGTTACGAGAGGCTGGGCAGGGCAGCCGTTTCTTCCCACGTCCCAGCAGTCTGCTTGGGGGGTCAGGTCACCACCACGAGTTTGATTGTAGCTCTGGAGAGGACTGCTGATGAGAAAGTGCTGTGTGTGGGTCGGTGTTGAGTGTAGCACGAGCTCCAGCCTATGCCCTGACAGGGAGAGGCCCTGACTGTGCGCTGATCCTCGATGGCTGCCATGGTGTTCCTCGAAAGCAGTACGGTGCTTGGCTAATATTTGGGGAGGGGGTATGTTACGGCCTGTTTTTCTACCCCATGAGCAACAAGTCTTCTGGGAGTTTTATCTGAAGTGGTTTTACGTCTTACTGGTTTGTTCTACTCCCCCCTTCCCCCCTTTGGTGCAGATGGGGGGGGGATGAACTAAATCTTGAGTCTTGCTCAGCTAGCACAAGGATAGTTTACAGTCATATGCTGCAGACACTAGGCTGATGTGCGGTGTTGCCAGTTTTCTGTTTAAATATTCACTTTTCTTTTTTACAGTACAAGCCCACCACCAACAGCAGTTGTAAGGCTGCCCTGGAGGAACCGAAAGGCCAAATTCCCTCCTCCCTTCTACTGCTTCTACCAACTGGAAGCACAGAAAACTAGAATTTCATTTATTTTGTTTTTAAAAAATATATGTTGATTTCTTGTAACATCCAATAGGAATGCTAACAGTTCATTGCAGTGGAAGATATTGGACCGAGTAGAGGCATTTAGGAACTTGGGGGCTGTTCATAATCCACACGCTGTTTCAGAGCCCCGCAGGTACCCCTCTGCTTGCTGAAACTGGAAGTTATTTATTTTTAATGACCCTCAAAAGTCACGAACACATCAGCTAGCAAAAGTAACAAGAGTGATTCTTGCTGCTATTACTGCTAAAAAAAAAAAAAAA